GCTTCTGGAGCCTGTGCTCCGCAACAGGAGAGGCCACAGCTGTGAGAGGCCCGCGTACCGCAAAAAAAAACAAAAAACAAAAAAACAAGCAGCTTCCTTCCCAGGTCCTCTATCTTGCAGACGTAAAAGCACCACACCATCAAGGACATCTATACCAAAAAGTTTTCTGTAGTGACCACAAAAAGTTGGAAAACTACAGGGTAAAAGGTTTCACCTGTGCCCGGGCTTAATACGCAGACTCCAGCGGAAAAAATTCCCCACTTCTCTACTTGGGGTCTGAGCCGGACACTGGATACCCTAGGCCTTCCCTCCGCTGGCCCTAGGATGTGGGACCCTCGGGGCCTCCGTCCCCAAGCTGGGCCCCGGGCGGGCCTTGTACACCCGGGTTTGCTCACAACTCACGCCGTCTGAGGCTCGGACGCCCGCCCACCCGGGCTCGGGCACGTAGGCAGGCTCGTGACGTTCCCAGGGCGCATGCGCTGGGCGCAGAGCACGTGCCAGGCCGCTGCACCGCGCAGGCGCCATTGCGCGCCTGCCTTGAGGGTCTGGAGGAGGGTGAGAGGGGTGCTCTCCGCCTCCCGCAACCGTTGGCGACCTGGGAGAAGGCAGGCGCCCGGATGGGACTGAGCGTTGGATACCCCCAGAGCCTCCGGAGAGAGATGGCCGAGGGCCGGGTCCTGGACGTGTCGTCTGGGCCAGGTGAGAGTTTGCAGCCAGTCCCCGGGCTTGTGCTGTGTTATGGTAGCTGATGATTTAGCGTAAGGAACTCAAAACTCTTCCTTCTGACAATTAGGGGTTCTCCTCGCATCGCAGCGCCCCCAAACCCGGCTAGTGCCAGACTGGCTTAAATAGTGGGGAACTGGGTAGGGGAGTGAGAACCCAGAGCTTAAACAGAGTAAGAAGTGGGGAAGAAAGGACCGTAAATTCAAAGTTGTGGGTTAGAGCTGCCCACAGCTTCCCGAGAACTGCAGTTGCTCGGGCAGGAAGTGGCCCCAGAGAGTCCCGTGGAAGCATCTCAGCAGAGTCCAGAGGGGACAAGAAAGGAGGGATGTGTCTGTCAGACCCTTCCCCTGTCCCTGGTCCAGGTTGGCCTCAGTGGCATGGGCTCCCCTATCTCCAGCTGCTGAGAAAGCCCGAGCCCCAAGAAGTAGCTTTGCGGACCGAAGGCGGCTGGATGGAAGACCCGCCCTCCTCACCTCGGAGGCCAAAAGGCCATAGGGTAACACCCCACGAGGGCCAATGAGTAGGTCGTGGAAGACCTACAGGCAGCAGGCGGGGCCAGTGAATCTTGTAAGCAAAGATAAGGGGTCAGGGCAGCAAGGGCTTTGGGGCCCCATTCCAACCGTCTATATGGGCCTCTGGATAGATTTCTGGTGGAGAACTACAACTTAGTAAGCCAGAACACCTCTACCGTCATCCAACGCCTTTATTTTAGAGGAAGAAAAGGGGACCCAGGATGGGCAGTGATTTGTCTGAAGCCTTGTGAGCTGAAAAAAGGAAATTTATGCAGGATCCACCAGGGGTCCTAGTTGGGCCTGGCACATTCCAAGTTACTGCCATGAAAACTGCCAGACTGAAAAACAGGCTTGGCAACATTTGGGCTCATTCCTGAGTGGGATTGTCCCTCGCCAGGCCCTTCCTCTGTCCAGTCTGTGTCTTGCTCACTATGGAGAGGGTGCCCCCAGCAGTGCTGAGGACAGTTGGAGGCCTCAAACACGGCAGCAGAGAATGCATGTTCTTTTGTAGCTCTGCCTCCCGTGGCCAAGCTGGCTGTCCACCTTCTCAGGAACCAAGAGCAATGTGGCCATTCCAAAGGAAGCCTCAGAGGTTCCATCTCCAGCCAAGGGCAGAATCCTCCAGTGGAATTTTGAGGATGTTTCAGGCATCTAGGCAACTGCCAGCGGGTCCCTTACAGCCTGGCCCAGATGCAGGACAGCCTTACATCGGGGACGAGTAGCCAGTGGAGGCACGGCCCGCTCAGACCAAATCTTGTATTCTGTGTAAAAGGGAAAGAAGTTTGAGCTCTATCAGTCTTAACACGGATTGGTCTGTAGAGCTGTGGATGCTTGCCCAGTGCTGCTTGAACCACGGGTCTAAAAGACAGTCATGTCTTTCAAGGGGAACTAGACCCAACAAGAGGAGCCAAAAAGCAGTGCCACTCACAGGAGGAAGCAGAGAAGTTCCTCTCAGCCTATTAACCTATGCCTTCCTTTGGTAAACAATGTCAAACCCTTGTCCTGACCTAGTAATACAGTATTGATGTGGGGTTTGTAATGCTAAATCCATGGGACACTTAGGGGCTGAGGGGTGATATAAGATGAACATTTCCCTGAGGACTTGCCCCTTGTTTTTCATCTGATTTACAAAGTCCCTATCCCAAGACTCAGAACTACAGCTGTGTCCCAGAGAGAAACACAACCAGCCAACAAAGATGTTCAATCTCACGTAAATTAATTCAAACCAACTCAAAAATCCATCACTTTTCACCTGTCAGATTAGTAAACAGTTCAGATGGAAGAGACTACAAACAGGCAAGTGGGGGTGGGGGGCAAGGAATATACTGTTGGTGGGAATTGAAATTGGGAAGTCTTTTCTGGAATGTATCCTAGAATTTTTAATGCATCCACCATCTAACAGCCATTTCTCTCTTTGGATCTTAACCCTGTATAAACCCAGATCTGAGTTAACGATTAAGTACACATGTATACCCACACACACTCATCACAGCACTTTTCATAAACATTAAAAACCAAAATCTCTATAAATGGGACCACTAAATGACAGTACATCCAAGACGATGAAATGCTATGTGGTTGTTCAGAAGAATAAAGTAGATCCATGTGAGCTCTTCAGAAACAAGTCCCAAGATTTACTAAGTGAGAAACAGGCAGAAACAGAACAGTAGATGTGTAGTTGTGTGCTCAGGACGGATACTCTTTCCAGGGAAAGTGAGCATTGGGGGGTGGGGGGGGTGGGGAGGAGGGAGCCTTGCTTTTCATGGTCCAGCCTTTCGTACTGTTTGAATTTTTACCATATGCATGTGTCACTTGGAGGAAAAAAACAAAACACGAAAGTCCCCATCCCTCCCACTCCTTAAAAACAAGGGTCGCTGCACTCATTCACCTTCTTGCCGCCTTGAACTCAGGACCTTCCTGCCACAGCCCCACCAGACCATCTTCTTCTCCCAAGTTTTAGACAATTCCAAGCAGGTTAGTTATCCAGGACAAGGAAGAGGGAGGAACCCCTGCATCTTATCTTCCCACCCAGAATGGAAGGAGCTCTGCCTGGAAGCAGGCTGCATTCAGCACAGCTGTGGTTGGATTTAAACAGCAAAGTGGTGGAACGCCCAGAAGTTGAAGCTAAAATGTTTAAGAAATTCAGTATTTCAGTTTCTATGGGTGTCCAGGAGAGTGAAGACATAAGACAAGGTGGTGGAGATGAGGAAGAATCTGAAGACAGTTTAAAGCCACAGTGGTGGAAAGAATGAAGAGGAGGAAGGTGCTGGATTTTACTAAGAGAAGAAAACAGACAGTTCAGGAGTCTCACCAGTGAAAGTTTATAGTATTGCATTTCGATTACAGGTATGTAAATAAAAAACTTGAGTATTACCCTCTGGTAAAAATGCAGAACCAGCTTGCACTTAGATTAAAACAGCAGGTTTGGGGACAAAAATGGACCATATGCTGCCTGTGATGAAAAGAGCGAGCTGGACAGGAGAGGAACCACCAGCTCAAGAAGCCCTAAGACTCTTAGCGAATCTTCAGAGGAAAAGGTCAGGGCCTCTCTGAGTGGTATTTCCCCCAAAGAGCCCTTGCCCAGGGATGTGGTTTGGAGAAGTCCCAAACCCACAAGTCACAGGTGCTTCTGGGCACATGCACAAGTGGGTAAAGACCTCCGATTCCCATGGGGCCTGCCTCCCTCACCAGCACTTCCCAGGCTACTGGAGTCTTCACAGGGCAGCACGTGGCCACTGCTGACCAGAGGTGGGTAGATGCTGGAAACACACCGAGAGGTCTGAATTGCAGACCAGTGGCACAAGACCATAGTTCTTGTGCCTTCAGAAAACCCAAAGTCCCCAAATAAAGGGGGATGAAGAGAGTTGGGAGAAATCAAACCAGAATTTTTCCAATGGCCATTAAAGAGAAAATTCAGCAACTCTTGCCTTTGTCTTTGACCCTGAGAAGTTGAGGGACACAGCTGTATGAGGCTGTGACCAGGCGGGAAGGAAGACATGGTGTGCTTCCTGCAGAGCCACCTCTGGAGTCCCTGTGGCTCAGTGACCCCCTCCTCCCATCTGCCCCAAAGCAGGGACCTTGACTGGGCCTGGTGGGGCCAGACAGGGGAAACGCAGTAAGAGAAAAGGCAGCGCCAGGCTCTCCAGATGGCTGGGACCATTGAGGAAGGTGTGCTCCCTAGGACCCTGCCACACCCACAGACGAGGCCGCCACCAACCAGCACAGGGGCTCCTTCACACACATGGTCCTTTCGTAAAAGGAATCCTTTGGAATTCAAACATTCAGTGTGTTACCGAGGTCAGCAGTCTGACCAGAGTCGGATCTGTCCACTCAAGTTTTTGAGGCAGGAAACCTCACTGTCCACTGTTAGTTCTCCAGCAGGGAGAACTTAGGTGGTGAATGGGGAAGTTGAACAGGAGGATCTTTCTTCCCCAAGCTGTCTGGACGGTGCCACAGCCAAGACCGACCACTTGGGCCACCACTCACATCCCCAACCTGAAGGAGGAGCCACGAGACAGGGAGCTGCTCAGCGCTGAGCCGCCTCCTGATCGTGGCCCTGTGGGGATCCCCTGGATTGGAGATCCTGGGGGAGCACCAGCCTGGGGGGCCCTGCCCCTCCCCCAGCCTTGCCCCTGGAGCCTCCCCAACTTCCAAACAGCACTGGATTCACCACATCTTGAGGAGCCAGAAGCCAAGAGAAGCAGCTCAGACTTGGCATCCTGCTTCTGTTCTCTGCCCAAGAGTCACCAAAAAAAATGTATGGTCTCACAGCAGGCACAGCATCTTGTTTCTTTTAAAAAATAAATATTTATAAACGTAGGGAGGAAGATTCAAAGAATCAGAGTCTCTTTCCCTCCAAAAGCACAAATATCCCATGTGAGTCAAACCAAGGTAAGTCCATCAACCCATAAATGAAACTCCACCCCCAGGAGCTCTGCCTTGAGGGGCAGGGGAGCTGATCTCTGGCTCCAGGCCTCTTAGTCCCCCTTGGTGATCAGGTCCTCGATGTAGGCATCCAGCTCGTCATCTGTGTTAATGTCTATGTCCTGGAACAGAGCAGTGCACGGTCAGCCAGGGGCCACAAGGTGGTGGGGGGCCCGCCTCCCCACCCTTCTTGCAGCCCGTGCCCCTTCCTCTCGCCCCTCCACCCTGGCTGTCAGGCCTTGTCCCTTCTTGATCATCCGCCCACTCCCTCCTCTGTGCACAGATGACGCCCAGATTTCTTGCTCCTACCCTGCCTCTACCCCAAGTTCCCGGCTTGCCTTAGCCATGCTGCAGGCTTCTCAGACTCAAAACATCCAAGAGCTCAACGGCACCACCCACCCCGAGTTGCTCCATCTTGGTACAGGCCACCACCGCCTCCCCTCCACCCAGTGGCTCAGACAAACCACAGCCATCACCCTTGTTTCCTCCCCTTCCCTCAAGACGTTACAACAAATCTGCCCACTTCTCTCCCTCCTCACTGTCACCATCCAAGGTTCAGGCTGCCAGAATCTCTCACCCAGACAACTGTGGGAACCTCCTCACTGGAGTCCCGGATTCTAACCTCCGCCCCCTCCAGGCCCTCCTACAACCAACCAGAGTAAATGTCTTAGATTGCAAACGTCTTAGTGCCACACCCTCCAGAGACTTCCCACCTGGTACAGGGCCCTGCTTCTTCTATCGCCCACATCTCCCTGCCTTGGGCCTCAGGCCCTGCTCTTCCCTCTCCCCAGAGCTCTCACATCCCACTCCTGCGTGACTGGTTCTGCCCTCAGCTCAAGTACCTCCTCAGAGAGGCTTCCCCTGAACACCCTAGTAAAGCGGCATCCCTGTTTTCTGTCTCTCTCATATTTACTTCACAGCACTTCCCGCCAACAGTAGTTCTGTCTCCTCCACTTGTTGGGCTATGAGAGCAGGACCCCTATCTTGCCTGTCTGCTTCACCAAGGGTCCCCAGGACAGGCACAGAGCAGTTGTCCTCAATGTTTACTGCCTGGATAAAGGGCTGAGACCCTACAGGGCGCTCCCTGCTTCTGGGCTACCTAATCCCATCTGGGCATCATCTGGAAAATTGAGAATGTTTTTCTGTTTTATGACTTGGAGGGTTCTCAAACCAGGTTGTATATCAGAATGTCTAAACAAGGGCAAAAGTCTGATACCATGGGTCTGGCTGGGATGAGGCCCAGGCAGCCGCACCACCTCCAGCCCTCCTGGTCAGGATGCTGTGCAGCCAGGGTTGGAACCACAGATTCCTGTGAGTGGGGAGAAGGGAGCAGGAGGTGCCCAAGCCCCCCCCTCCCTGAGACACCAGGTGGTCCGCTACAATGAGAGGGCTGCCTGGCTCACCTCCTGCACCTTTTGCAGGAGTGCCACGATGTTGGTCCTCAGCTTCTGCAGCTTCTCCTCTGTCTCGCGGAGCTTTCTCTCGGAGGTACGCAGGCTCTCCTCGGAGGCCTTGGCCCGCGAGTCGGCGCGGCTCTGGTAGGAATGGCACAAGTTCTGGAGCCCCACTTCATACTGCTTGAAGTACTCTTTCTGTTGGGAGAGGAGCTGGTGGGTGAGTGCATGAGCTCACAAGGGTCCCCAGTGCCCTTTTAGATGGGCACTGGTGTCCCCAACTGGCTCAGCACAAGGAAGCTCAGTCTGAAGGGATGCCGGACCCAGAAGCAAGTGATCTCTCTAGCTCCAGAGAAAAAAGACCTCGACGTCCACCTCACAGGGCTGCCACGAGGACGAAGACAGGATCACACATGAAGCACGTACCAAAGTGCTCTGGCAGACTGCCAGCCGTGAGTAAATGTGAGGGATGATTCTCACCATTCACCTTTCTAAGTGCACAACAGCACTTTGAGCAAACCACTTCCAAGTCACAACCAACAATGTCAAGATCAAAAGTTCTCTTCCACAAGTATTTTATCAAGCACCTATCAACAACAGATTCCTCCAGGTTTGTGTAGTATGTTTATACAGCATCAGAGCTTTTCACCATCTTCCCTGAGTACCTGAAACTTCCCGGGGGTGGGGCAGTAATGTTAACTAGCACTTTCTCTAGACATGGGGCTTTATCAAACTTTTAGAAAGTAGCAGAACACTTGTTTCAAATGAAAGTTACATGGAATCTCAGTATAAAAAACAATTTGGGTAATAACTCTTTATGTTTAATTTCAAAGTTATAACATTATGATTTACTCATAAATCACCAATGTGAATGATGAGGCCATTATGATGAACACAAACCCATGACCAGCAGGTCCTGGCTAACAACTACAGTCTCGCCAACTCTAGCATTTATTTACTTCTGTGAAGATGTATGAACTACCTAGCACTGAACGGCTATAAACTGCTGTTTTTAAAACGTGTTAGAACTATTTAATTGTTTACAATCTAGAATACTATCCCAGTAAATCAAGATGGCAACAGAAACTTCAAATTCTGCACAAAAAATAATTATCACTTGGCAGCGCAAAAATAAATGTTCAAGCAGTGCCAAAAGTATTAAAATGTAATACACAATGTCTTAAGCCTAACTATGATTTGTATTCATTTTAATTTTTTTTCCACTTTTAGGCCATTATAGATTCACAGGCAGTTACGTTACTTTTAAAGTATATATATATATTTTTTAATCTAGTATTTGCAGGACCCCTGACGGTCTGGAACTCCTAGTCCAGCATGATGAGCAAAAGGACGGTCATTTACAAACTGACAAGGATACAATGAACATTAGACTCCTGTTGTGTCCCGAACGTTAAAAAAATTAAAGTTTGAGTTATTTTAGGCATTTCACTTAGGTGGCTATTAAACTGATGCATTAGTGGTACACCTCCCTTTACAAGCATAAGCCAACAAACTATTTTAGGCTCAGATGCTCCTACTGACTGTGCTTTGGTCTGAGCGGTCAGGGCCACTGCAAAGATCCCACTGCACCCAGGCTTTACTCTGAATTTGGCAACAACTTTAAGCCAAAAGCAACAAACATGCCAGGCCGACCTAGCTGGCCTATCAGCTGTTTGTTCCTGGGATCTGTAGAGGATGCCTGCAGCCTGAACAAGGGTAAGCGTTGAGGTGTAGCAGCTTTCTGTGAAGCCACCATGAGTTCTGCACCTTCTAGCTTCCCCAGGGTGCAGTGCCCCCTCATCTTGCAGGGGAGCAAGACCCTTGTCCTAACAAGTTCTGGGTTCAAATCTGGACTCTATTAAGACAGACTGTTCACCTCTCTGCCCCTGGGTTTCTTCAGCTCCTAGCCTCATTTCCCTTTTTTAAAGTAGAATGGAGACAAAACTCCATGTTTTCCTCTCTGGCAAACTTTATCAAGCATACAGCTGCCCACGAGGGCCTGCCATCTTAAACATATTAACCCTGCAGTTTCAATTCCAGTTGTCCTCTCCAGAAACTCCTCCCTAGAAAACTTAAGCTATTCCTACAGCAGAAACATCCTCTTGATGTGGATGACTCCCAATCCCCATCTCCAGCCCTGCCCTTCCCACCCCTCCCAAGTGCCAGCCCCAATCTCCAGTGTCCTGTCCACTGGACGTCACCAGAAATGAAGTGCTGGTACTTCCAGCCCAAGTCAAATCACAACTCATCTTCCTCACCCTCACCCTGTTTCTCTCCCGGTTAACAGCTTTGTCATCAACCTCCAATTCCCACAGACCTGAGAGACAGGGAAGCACGTGACCTCTGCCTCCTCACCATCACCTGCCTTCAGTCAAAGAAGGACCCCTGACACGGCCCCTTCACCTGTCAGAGCTCCCATCCCCCCTCCCTGGCCTATTACCATTAGACCAGCTTCCCTGTCCCTGTGTCTCCCATCCACCCTCCTTCCCAGAACCAGAGTTACCCTCTTAGGGGCAGGGTCAACAGACTACTCGCTGCCTGTGACCAAATCAGCCTGCCACCTGTTTTTGTAAACAAAGCATTACTAGACCTCAGCCACATCCATTCCTTTGCATATGGTCTTATGGCAGCTTCCACACTGTAACGGCAGAGCTGAAGAGTTGCCACAGAGACCTTACAAGCCCATAAAGCTGAAAATATTTGCTAACTGGCCTCTACAGAATAAGCCTCTTGACCCCTGCCCCAGACATGGTTCAAGTCGACAATTCCATCCGCTCAAACCTTTAGCTGGGCCTCCATTTCATACAAAGTTTAAGCCACTGCACCTCAGGGGGGTGCCCCCGATGCCTCCTATCCTGGCTCTGAGGGCCCTTCTCCCTGAGTGCTCACCACAGAGACCACTGCCCTGGCCCCCACCTGCCCTTGCATCCCTGAGCCTTTGTTCACAACAGTCCCTCTGCCTCAAACACTTCCCGTCACTTCTACAAACACTCGCCCAAACCCACATTTTCTTTAGCCCTGGTCACTCTCTCCCCCTCCCAGAGGCTGCCCCAGCCCTCCCACCCACCTTGCAGAGCACTTACTGCTCTCAGCCTCATGTCTAGGTACCTGCTAAAAATTCAGTCTCTACTGAGTCTTAAGCCACTTGGAGGCTCCAGCACTGAGGCACTGCATCTGCATTTGCTAAATAAGATCCCACGCTTATCTCCACACACCACGAGCTTCCCTATACCTCCGAGAGTCACGTTTCCGGCACTTTGAACCTAAGCTCTTTACTGTTTCCTGCCTTGACAGAGGAAAAGGGACATACTGCACACAAGTCACACCGGGCCTGTCCCTAAGCGAGGATTCCACTCCACCCCAGCATCTCACCAGCTGCACACCAGTCATCCGGCTGAGCAGCTTCTTTTTCCACAATGTAAAGTCCCCTCTTCCCTTCCCTCAGCAGATGAAAGGGAAGCTGGCCAAGCGGGGAAGGGCGCACACAGCTGAGAGCTGACAATCACAACAAGCACCAAGGGGGGCGTGCAGAGTCAAAAACCAAAGGCTGGGCAGACTCACCAGAGGAAACGATATTAGCTCATCTGAATTCATAGCACTCAGCTCCTTCTTAGAGATGGGGAAACTCGGAGGCAGGAAGTACCGTAAACAATTCCTAAAAAAGAAAGAAGGTGGAGACTGGAAATCAGAATGGCACAGAGCTAGTGGAGAACCAGCACTGACCCCGGAGTAGGACGACAACGCACCGAAGGATCTGGACGAGGAGGTCAATGGTCTCGTGGTTGGTGCTCGGGGCGGTGGTGTCGGGCTCAATGCGAATGCAGTCTGAGGTGGAGGGTTCCGCCATGGCTACAGCCTGCTGAGCCACTGCTGCCTCCTCCTCCTCCTCCCCGCCCTCCTGCTGCGTGTCCGGGCTCTGATACTCCGGGGAAGGGGGCTTCATCAACCGCACATCCTCACTGCCTTTCTCCACCCTAGGGAGGACCCAGTGTTTGTGTCACGTGTCCCAGGCTCCCAGGATGGGCTGCCTGCCCCTGCCCAACTCTGTCAACCCAGCCTCCTAGAAGGGGCATTACCAGCGGTCTCTTGGTGTCGTGTCCGTGGGCACATAGTCAAACTTCACCTTCCACCGCACCACGTTCTTGCCCAACTCCACGGCTGTGACACGGCCTGTGTACCACTCCCTGTTCACACGCACCTCCACGTGCAGCCCTTTATCTGAGAGTGCAGATGGAGTTAGAAAACTAGACTAGAGCCCCCGACCCAGCCAGGGCCACCTTGAGAAAGGTCATCCCAGGTTCACAGGGACAAGAACCCCTAGGAGCTTGATGCCACTATGCCAGGGACACGGAGCCCAGCCACTCTGGTCTCCCTCCCCAACTGTCATGAGAGTGCCGCAGAGCAGCATGGTAACTGCCAGCGGTGAACACCAAGGAACTGATGCTAAAAATAAACACGAGGGCGTGCTAGCCTCAGCATTATTCTCAGAATTAGACTTGAAACCATTGTTGCTTGAGAGCCTGGAGCCAGGAAAGCCTCCATAAGCCTTCGGAATACGGTGCTGCTGGCAAGGGGCGCCCTTCCCACTTCCCCACAGGCTCTGGGCACCTCCCTAAACTCACCTTTCTGAGCGCTCTTGAGGTCAGCTGGGTCCTCTTCCCCAGCACTGTCTGAGAGCTGCAAGAACAGAGCCTGTGAGAGGTACCGCCAGTGCCCCTAAAGAACAGACTGTCCACCCAGGGTCATAAGCCATCACCTCATGTCGTCTTGTGCGGCTGTTTAAATCCCCAGGCCTCACTGAGAGCCACTCTCTCAACCATTATCTCAGTATGTACACACCTGCCTCCAAAAACGTCAGTAAACAAGAGAGCAGGCATAGGGGCAGAATGTCACAGACACGGAAGTACATCTGCGTCAGTGTCACCTCAAGCCTGTGAGTAGAGCCACAAGCCAGTCTCACTCAAGATCCTACCAGGTACCGTGTTTCTAGTCGTCTGTGTGACTAAGTGTCCTTCAGAGATGGACTAGGCTTCTGAAAGGCTCGTGTCACAGACTGCAGGTGGCGGGTGGAGACCCTGGGGAGTGAGAATGCTGAGAACCTACCTCATTCAAGTCCTTTTTTTCCTCCTTCACGGCAAACTTGCCCCGCTTGGACCTCTCTTTCCTCCTCTCAGCCTCTTCCTCGGCTTCTTCCTCATCAGAGACCCCAAGACTCCGCTTCCGACCAGGAGTGGCCTACAGCAAGAGGAGCGGTAACATGAGGGACCCTGGCAGACCCTCAGGTGCTGGAAGATCCCATCTGGTCTAAAGGAGCCATTCAGAAAGGGGCCTGTGGGTCTCAGTCCCCGCCAGGGCTGGGCTCCCAACAGTACTAGGGACACAGCAATCCCCGGCCTCTACGCCCACGAGGACCTTTGCTCAAAGCTGTCACAGGGGAGCCTCTCAGTTCACTCCCCACTGAACCACACCAACCACTGCTGCAGCCCACCAAGGCTGTCACCAGATTGCAACCTCTGCCCACTGCGTGAGAAGCCAATGAAGGCGACTCAAGTCTGTGGAGGACCAAACCTTGGAGGGGGCACCAAAGAGCTCCCTGGACAGGGAACCAGCAAGCTCTGTGCCCCCCATGAGTGCCTTCAGCTATCAGACTCCTCCTCTGCAGGGGCAGCACGGAAGGCTGATCTCCACTGAGGCTTCTCCACCCCCCACCGCCCCCCATGCAGTCAGCGCTGCCCCCTCCATTCCTATACCACTGTGGGCAGGGCTGGAGAAGGAGGAGCATCTCACCAGGGAGAGTTTACTGGGCGGCTCCGGCTTCTTGACCACTGGAGTCTTGATGGCTCGGGGGGCGGGGAGCTCCCGAGGGCTCTTGGAGTTGGGCAGCAGAGATGGTGATGGTGGCTGCACGGGAGGGGCGGGCCGGGATGCAGTCTTGACTGGAGTGTTGGCAGGCTTTCGGGGCACCTCAGGAGGCTGGAGCAGCCTGGAAGTACTGGCCTCCTCCCGTGCTGTCGAGGCAGGAGGCTTTGGGACGCTGCCGATAACAGGAGCCTTTCGGGGCTGGCTGGCTGGTCTGGGAGCCTGCAGGGAAGGGGGTCTGCTCGGGGCATTCCTGATCACAGCAGGTAAAGGAGGTGACCGAGGACGCTGAGGTCTACGTGCAGGTTCCTGAAAGAGGCCCAGAGAGAGTGACAACATGGATCCCAGCATGAGACACCTGAGGAAAAGCCATGCCCCTATCCCTGGGCTTTACCTCAGTGGAAGGTCTGGTGGTCACTTCCAAGGGCAATTTCTTCAGGTCAGCTTGGGAGCGGATGGGTGTGGTTTTCTGCAGGGTAAACATGATGAGGAGGTCGTTTGCGTATCTGGTACATTCAAGCAAACTCTTTTTGGAGCCCCACAGTCTGGGACAGTGGGCAAATAAAAAAGAACACCTGGGCCACAGTCCTACTATTACAAGCCTCCCATTCTCACTGAGAAGACAAAAATTCACAAACACTAAACTACCAGCAAATTACAGGATTCTATATGATTAATCCAGCACCTGAGAGACTGGGGAAAAGTGTCAGTAGACTAAATTCCTATAAAACAAGCCAAAAAGGTTGGAGATCCCGAAAGGCCAAAGCCGGAAAGGACAGGTGGGAATTGGCAGACAGGGAGGCATGCATACAATGAGAGCATCTGCCTGTGCAGAAGTCAGAAAGGGAAAGGCTTTTGTAATAAATACGATAAACGGTTGATACCACACATATATCTAAAAAACCTGACTAGTCAATTAAGGAAAAAATTTAAAACAACAGTAATGTAAGAGAACAATAAGCAGTTCTAAAAGAAACACACGAAAAAGTTGTTCAATTTTAGAAATATGAAATTCAAATTTAAGATGTGTATCTTTGCTTATCAAATTTGCAAAAACATTTAAAAATAAATGTACTGCTGGTAAAAAACAAAACATAATACATCTTCTGGAGAATAATTTGGAAATAGTTATTTAAAGAAAACATAGAATTTAAAAAATCCTTTTACTCTTTCAAATTCACTTCTGGAAAACTATCCCAAGAAAATAATTATGCACTAATAAAAAAAGTATGTGTGTGTGATATGACACAAGTAAGTCGTGATCTCTATTTCTAATAAAAAATATATGTATTTATGTGTATGTAGAGGTCATAAAAAGTTGGAAGGATGTGCAGTTAATGGTGGTTACCTCTAAGACAGGATATGTACTTTCTGGAGTTTCAAAACATTCTAAATGAATCGGACCTCTTTGTAATATATAAACAAAATTTTTTTTTTTAAAGAATGATCAAGGCATACTGGAGAACCAGTGTGCCTGGAGGTTGGGGTTGGGAAGCTTGGGCAGCACTCATGGGTGACAGAAAGGTGAAACTGAGCCTGAGGGAACAGAGGAGACACTGAGGAGTCCTGCCCATGTGCCCACTGCCCATGACCCACACACCTGCAGGGCCTCCAGCTTCTCTTGCTGCTGGCGAATTTTCTCTGTCAGTTGCTTCTGCTTCTCTTCCTGTGTCTTCAGATCCTTTCTGAACGTCCCCAGGGGAACCTTCTGCTTCTGTTCAGAAGCCTCACACCTGTAAAGAGAAAGTGCTAGGAAGGGTGTGGCAAGATAGCTCCAGGTACGGCAGGGTCCTTCCTCCTCAGCCAACCCATGCTCTCTCTCACCAGAGCAACCTCAGACTTCCCAAATGCACAGAATTAATACTCATTGCAGGATACACTTCTATTATTTCCAGGCACTTATTATACACAGCAAGACAGAGATGTAAGGATATGAGCACTGACCACAAGAAGCATAGTGGAAGAGTGGAAAAAGCACGGGAGGAGGTGGGGACGCCCACAAACTCCTTGTTAGAAAAAGTGCTCACCGGTCCTGCTCAGGATCAGGGTTCATGGAGCAAACCCAAGTGTCAGGGTAATCTTTTTCCACAGAACTCAGCTGGAAGGGGAGGGTCCGCCACTTCAGACACAAATCTGTGACACAGAACATACCCCCAACAAAACATCAGCCATGCCCAGCAACAATAACCAGGCTCCTCCCAGCCAGGCCCAAGGCAGAGATGCCCCCGACTTTCTATGCAAAGATCCTCAGTCTGGCTCCAACTCTGCCTTCCTTACAGAACAGTCACTCTTCTCAGGGACAGTGATTCCAGCAAGGATGGAAACTTTATACCACGGACCCTCAGCGGCCCCAACCCCTCTCCTTCCTCCAGCAAAATCCTGACTCAGTCATCACTCACACTTCTACCGATGTGGTACCAAACCTTGTGAGACCCGGCAGGGTAGATGACCTCCTGCCTCATTTAGAAGGAACAGGTGGGCACAGCACAGCCCCAAGACTGAGCTCCCAGGGCCATCACCAAACAGACTCATATCCCTAGTGGGACATACGTCCCTGAATGTCACTGCATTCAGGAGGCCAGCACGGTGACTATGATGGAAAGGAATCAGGAGGAGGTGCCGACCCCCAACTCACCACACTGGATGGTGGTTGGGATTTCCATAGCTCTCCGCCGTTTGTAACGCAGCTCACTGGATGGAGGCTGGTTCCAGTTGGCAGAGAGGTAGCCGAACTCATCCCAGAACTTGATGATTCCCCGCTGGGCTGGAAGACAAGCACCCACACATCGCGTGGGGAGTCAGCCCCCTGAGGCAGCGAGAGGATCTCAAGGCTGGAGGTGAAGCGAAAGGGCATTACCAATGGCGATGTCCTTCCAGTACTGCGCCAGGTGCTCCCCCATCGCCCGCAGCAGGTGCCGGTACTCCTTGGCATCAGCAAAGTCCTGCTTGTTGTGTGTAGGCTCCAGGACCAGGTAGGGCACATCTACAACCCCAACGACCCCGCCACATGCCCTGCAGGAGGAGGTAGACACGGCTCTGTCACCCCACTGACCAAACCTCTCCCGCCAACCATCCTGGGCTGAAGCTCTCCTCAGGCAGCACTCACATGCCCCCTTCCAGCTGTGGGCCCACTTTCTCATACATCTTGATCAGGCGGCTACAGTTGTAGATGAACATGCCGTCCAGGTCCCGGTGTTCAATGTTGACCCCAAAAACAAAGTTCAGTTCCTTGGGTTCTTTAAGCGCTCTGAGAAGACAAAAGATAAATTCAAACAGATCAACCCATTAACACACAAATACCATGGTGTTTAAGATGTATTAAGCTTAAGCTGAAACTTGAGACACTTAAGTTTTGCCTTTGCATTCAATATGCAACCTGTAGACTTGACAAGGATACTCACTGTGCAGTCACTCTAAGCTCCCCAATTAAAAGCATATGACTTTAGCTTTTGGTATCAAACAGGGATGTATTTAGTATGAATGGGATTCTGTGAAGCTGTTGCAAATCTCTGCAAAGATGCTTATTTAGTGGAATAAACACAAGGTCATCTGCATAACCATTCCACTAATGTGACAGTAATTAATTTTAAAAAGACAAAAATTCACAAGAACAATAAACATGTGAGAGAAGAAATGATCATGGGATAAACGTCAACAAAATCATGGAAACTGAAAAGCAGATAGATGATCAGTGGACAGACTCACGGGGCAGATACCCGAAACCTAGGCCTGTGGTGAGGAGGCCAAGAAGTAAGCAGGGTCTCAGGCCCAGAGCCTGCAGAGGCTCCAGACGTGGTGGGGGACACGGAGATCATGTAATGAGCCAGGACAAATGCCCAGTCTAGATAAAAAGGAACAAACTCAATCTGTAGCATTATTAAGAGTACATATCACCAGGTGGGAGAAGTATAAGGGAGTTTACAGCTGTATTTCTTAAATAGTCTGTATTTTACAAGTTGTATACTACAAGCATTTTATACATCCTTTAAATGAAAAGAAAAAAAAGGAAAAAGGAAAGGAAGAGGGAAAGGATGGGCAAGGTGGGGAGAGAATGGAGGAGAGAGAAAAGGGGAGAAAGGAAGGGAGGGGGGGGGGGGGGAGGTGAGAGCGCTGCCAGTGAGGACAGGTTGGTGTTCAACTCAAGGTGCTGGCTCTGCCCACCTTGTCCTGGCTCAGGGGAGAACTGAGCTGGGTAACCTCTCCTGTGGTGGGCATGTGACAAACGTCTGGGAATCACAACATTAATGGCTTTCTCAAAGCAATCTGCATGTGACAGAATAGCAACCTTGTGGGGTGGAGAGGGATTCCTCAAGCTCTTTCTTTGTCAATAATCCATACAAAAGCTACATAATTTTAAAAGACCCAAGGCCAGCCGGGCACTCACCGCTGCTTGGCCTCCTTGATCCGCTTCTTGACATCAGCTTCTCTGCGAAGGGTAATGGCCGTGTTCTGGACCTGTCGCAACATCACCTGGAAACACACGCCAGCACCAAGTAAGGAGAGGAAGTGCTATGGGCCACAGCTGGTAATATCATTAACAACACATCTGAAACTTCTCACTTTAAATCACATGGACGCAAAAACAGACCTGGAAATTTACTTCCTTTCCACAGAAAAGGGCCCTCGCTAGGGACAAACACAAAAGCTGTGCTTCACCTGACCAGACTTGCTGACACGGAGGAGGAAACACCCCCAACTGAAACAACAGTCTGCAGAGGTGTGTGTGTCGCAGGGGAGGAGTGGAGAACTGCTGACCCTTACTGCTGTGTGTGACCTGAGGCAAGTGACCCTCTTCCGTTTCTTTCTATAAACTGAGGATACTAACAGTGTCCACCTCACATGGTTGCCAAGATCCTGCCATACAGTGTGTTCAATAGTGACTATGGAAACATCATCACATCCCATTTTGCAGCTCTAGGGCAAGGGGTTCATGACTGGCGGGAGACAGAGCCAGGCGAGCTCTGGGATCCTAAGGGCAGCAACGCTGGAGAAGAGCTGCTGGGTCTGGGGCCTCACCCTGGAGTCCCGTGTGAGGTCTCCGCCCAGGCGCACTTCTAATGTCCGAGCTTTGCTCTCCGCCTCCCTTGCCTTCTCTTCAGCTGAAACCCAGAAGAAACCATGGTAAGAATTCAAAGGTCAAAACTCTTAGCTATCCCTCCTAGACCCCATAGTGCAGTCCCTGCCGTATGAGACGTTCGTACACTGTCAGGGAACAGGTGAGCTGGGAGAGCAGCCTCCTTGCTTGGAAAGTCAAGGAGGCCCCAAGGAAAACAGACACCTTTTCCAACTTTACAAATGAATCAGAACAGGTCAAGCACTGCCCAAGGCAACCAGAGTTAAACCCTCAGCAGGAGCTGGAAGTTACCAACAGTCCTCAGCCAACCACTCTCCTTGAGCAGCCAAGAAGCTTTGTCAGCAAGAGAGACCTTGAGATTTTTGCCCTGGAGTCAAGAAAACCAATTTCACAAGTATTTGTGCCAGAGGACAGTGTGGGACTCTTCACTCTGGGCAGGCAAGCTTTAGATAACAGCCTGTAAATGGCTGAAGTAGCCTGGAAAGAAAAACTGCTGAGGGAGAGGTGGGAGAGAAACTGGACCAGTGGTTCAGGAAAGCCCACCCCTGGGTGTTGCATGGAGCTTTTGCCTGGATCCTGCTTTTGCCACAAGCAACGTCCCCCAGACGACCCTCCTGCCCAGGGGGTCATTACCAATCCGTGCCACGTGCTCAGCTTTCTTCACCTCCTGCTCCGCGCGGGTCTTGAACCGGCTTGATGTGTACTTGTACATCCTGGGGGGGCGGGGGGCGAGTAACCAGAGGGCCTGAGCACCAGAGGTGCAGGGCAGCAACTATCTTGGCCCTCCGATGAGTCAAAGCCAAGCTTATTTTAGCAAAAAGACTCAATTCCCTACTCCACTTGCCCCCTGCCATCCTGCTCCATCTTTGAAAAGCAACCTCACTACTCTCTGAGTGTGTCATTAATCCCACAGTAGAAACCAACCTCAGCAACGAGCAGGGCCTCTGCTTCCCTGTGTACTGTCTAAAGGGCCATTGGCCCTGCAACCAGAGGCTCAGACAGCTCACCGTGTCAGGCTGAGCACCCTCCACCTCACAGAAGGCACACTCAACAAGCCTCACCAGCCACCTCTGCCCCTCCCTCAGGACCCAGTAGTTTGTCTGCAGTTAATCAAGCAGCTTAAAGACCCAAACGCAGTCAACACTGTCAGAGCCGCTCATCCACCATCACTCCAAAGATGCCCCAGAGACACGTGGCCAGGCCCCATTCTTGGCCCAAAGGAAACAGCAGGCCAGGGTGGGCAGGCCCCTACCTGGGCTTGTAGAGGCAGCAGGAAAGCCTCTTGGTCTGCACCTTGTGCCCGTGGATGAAGATCCGCATCCGGGGATCAATGTAGAGCACGGCAGCATAGGCACGGAAGGAGCGGCGCTCTGGCTTCCTGGAGGCAGCAGAATGGAGGGTGCTGTCACCCTCCCACCGCCAGCCCAACCAAAGGCTTGGGTGGACAGCCTCTCTGCAGGCTCTCCACCTTTCCACCTCCCATCTCGGCTTCTCTTGCTGCCCTGAGGGGTGCTTCCTCTGTGTGGGCACCACATCCCACCTCCTCTCACGTCCCTGGCACAGACACCTAAACTGGCCCCACCATCCCAGCACGGACCTGGCAATTCCTCTCCCCTCTCTAGGCCTCGGTCTCTTTCTCATTCAAGTTAAGGAGCTGGGGCAAGGATCTGGATTAGCTGAGGACCTGCTGTCCTTCTATTCATCCCTTCTGCCTTGTGGCAGGAAGACATTGAGTTCTCAGCTTTACCAACTCTAAAACTGGGGAATTCAGGGAACAAGCTCACCCCTCTCAACCTCAAGTCACCTCCCTTTTCCTCCCTACCCAGCCACACTCACGTGCCCTCCGGAGAAGTCTCTGCCATCTGGATATCTCTTGGATTTGAGATTATGTCCAGCTCTGGCTCTCCGTTATCCATGAGTTTGAGATTGAAGATGATCACCAGCGTTCCTAGGGAATAGAAATCCTGTGGTTCTACCAGGCACCCCCAGCCAATCCCCATACTGCTCCTGGCTCTGGAGCTCCCTGATGCTAGAGGCCGCAGGCCTACTTACCACTGTCCCCAGGAATCTTCATGAACTGAGTCATCACTTCCTCTTCATTGCGGAAGGGAGAATACTTATAGATGAGTTCCGTCTCGATGGCAAACTTCTCCACGTTGTCTGTAACAGGTTCCCGGGTCCGAGCATTCCAGGTGGGCAATGGGACTATCACCTTTGGAGGAAGCACAAGCAGACGCTTGAAGGAAGCCCCAGAACAGCCTTCCCCCCGCAAATGTGCATCCATCTTTTCCCTCCCCACAGCAGCTCCACACTGCCCCAAGGGGAGGCCCAAGCCCCCCAGCCTGGCACCAGTGGCTCTAGCTTCTGCCCCTTCCCAAGACTCTGCCTCACACTGCTAGGTCCTCTGGGGTATGCTGCCTTATGGCCTGGGGGTCTCTGCATGAGCAGTTCCCTGCTTGGGATATCCCTGGTCATTTTCCCTATCTGGTAGTAAGTTATTATTTCCACTAAGCAAAACATATTTGCGATGATCTAGTGAATCTAAAGACACACACAAACATAACTTATAACTCAGCAATTCTACTCCCAGGTATATAACCTAGGAGAAATAAAATCTAAAAACAAAACGCTATAGTATGAGTCCATTTATATAAAATTCATAAATAAGCAAAAAATAAACTATTATTCAAGAATGCATACACAGGTGACAAAATTATAAAGAAAAACAAGGAAATGACTGATCATCACCAAGGCAGTTCCTTAAGAGGTGCGATAAGGAATATGATTGGTGAGGGACACATGGGGACTTCTAGCATCAGTCTACGGTGGTGGCTACGTGGGTATTTGCTTTATAATTACTCTCAACTGTACATAGGTTATTTTTTTTATTTTATTGAAGTCTAGTTGATTTACAATGTTGTGTTAATTTCTGCTGTACAGCAAAGTGATTCAGTTATACATATATATATATACATAGATTTTAATACTCTTCCATATGTGTAAAATTTAATCTTACATCTACGTAATCTTCTAGAAAATCCTACCCTTGTCAATTATACCTCAATAAAGCTGGGAGAAAAATCCTACTCATTCTTCAAAAACCCTACTAAAACGCCACTTGCCCGGAGGCATCAACATGCATCTCTCCCCCCGCCCCCACCCCTCTCCCAGGTGCCGGGGAGCCCTGTAGCCTGGGATTCCCTCTGCAGAGCAAACCACCCCAGGCACCTCAGAGGTTCAAAATGGCTGGCTGGCCCACCCTGCGGAAAAGGGGATTCTGTATTTTAACAAGCTCTGTGGTGATAAACTGTTAAGAGTTCTGAGGCACTTTACTGGTTTCTAAGAAGCTACAGTATTCAGCCCTGGGGCTGGTCTGGACACATTCCCACCCAGCTAAAAGTGATCTTATTTTGAAATCTTGGCTGAGTTCACACTAGAGTACAATCCAAAACAGTGACCTTCTAGCTCCAAGTAAGGAAAAAATTTCAACCTAGCTTTTTCACCAGGGGAATTGAGTTCCATTTGTGTTCTGAGAATTGGTACCTCCTTTACACCTCCCAATCTTCACAGCAGTCCCAGGTGACAACGGCATTACTTTAACCTCTGGGCACTCACCTCATTTGACACCCACCCACCATTGGAATATTCCTCCTTTACTTTCAGGGTCACCACTCACCTGGCTTTCCTCCTACCCCTCTGGCCGCTCCTGCCTCCTTTGCTGCTTTCCCCTTCTCCTTGGCCTTTACATGTGGGTGGGCATGCCTAAGACCCCAGGCCCTCTTCTCCAACACGCTCTTTTAGGTGAGCCCATTCACTACGAAGATTCCTTGGAGTCTAAGCCTCCCCCGAGCTCCAGACCCAGACTTAACTTTGCGTGTCCAGGACAAAACGTACACACTTCCCCTCCAAACTGCCCCTCTTCCATCCTTCCCCAGCTCCAGACAGCCCACCCCCAAGTGCCACACCAGGACCTCAGCCATCTACAACCCCCCCTTCCCATTTCCCCTTTCCAACTGATTAAACACCAAATCTGCGGCCACTCCTATTTCTCTCACCTCCCTGCTGGAGTCCTGTAGACAGTCAGGGCCTCTGACACCAACACCCCAATCTTTCCAATCCAGGCACCACACAGTAACCAAACTGATCTTTTCAAAGAGGATCTAATACATTGCTTAGATTCCCTTTCCTGGCTGCTTTTAATAAAGTCCCACACACTCCCCAAGGCCCAGAGGTCAGGCCCGACCTACCCTCTCTGCTCTCCAGAGGCCACCACCTCTCGTCAGGTGGCCCCTCTGCCCTTCCCACAGCCCCCACCAGCTCTCAGGCCAGGAACAGGCCGTTTCTATTGACGCGCAGCCCCTGCTCTCACCACCCTCAGTCCACCAGGAAGCAGTCCTGAAAAGCCCAGCCGGGGCCAAATCCTCCTGCCCCACCTTTCCCGGGAGTGCTTGCCAGCTGCAGCACTTCTCTCACTCACCAAAAAGGCAAACAAACCCAGTGGCTCACGAAGTAAAGACGGCAGAAAAAGAGCCTTTCGTTCCCAGCATGAACTGATTTGCTATGATTTAGGCTCACATCTAAACAAGGCCAGTACCAATTTACTCACAGCCAACCAACACAGATGAGTTAGACTGACACTGACCGCATTTCACCTGTTTAAGTGACAGGAGTGGATTTCTTTCTGCAGACCCTCCTGGCCCCCTCTCAAGCTCTGGCCTCCATTTCTCACACAGGAAAGGAGTTAAGAGTCCGGTCTGAGGCTAGGCAGGCCAAGGCCTTCCCTGATCCTCCCATGAGCAGGCGCAGACCTCACCAAACCAGCTCTACAGATATGAGCCACCAGGCCCAAAGAGAATCAGCTGTGCATGTGTTTAACTTACACAGTTAATTACCAAAAGGTTTCAAAATCAGAATATTCTAGAGTCATTAGGCCTTCCTTCCAGCATAACAGTAATCAGCTTAGGCTGTGTGTCAGCTGCCACTTACTGAAAAACTTAAATGATTTTCCATGTGTTCACCTGCTTCACTACCTGTCCAGGCCCTGCAGGTATCAGACTTGTTTGTAGCTTCTGATATAAATGGTTAGAGTAACACATTTCCTCAAAAGGAAAATGCACTCACAGCACATTCCACAAAATCACCATCATATGGGAAAGACAGTGCTGTTCCTATTATTATCACCAGCTGTGGTCTCCACCCATAGTCAGGGAAGCCCCAAATACTCCCCCTGATAAAACAGCTCTCCCCAGTGACAACCCCTACCCCAGGACTGAATTCAAGCTGCAGATCTAGGAGACCTACAAATCCAACTCTTGGTTCCTGACACTTGATGGCCTCATTCTCAGAACCGGGACATCTCTTCTCTGAAGCTGTGAGATTTTACTTCCTCTCCCATTAAGACACCTGCCTTGGGCTTCCCTGGTGGCGTGGTGGTTGGGAGTCCGCCTGCCGATGCAGGGGACGCGGGTTCGTGCCCCGGTCTGGGAGGATCCCGCGTGCCACGGAGCACCTGGACCCATGGGCCATGGCCGCTGGGCCTGCGCGTCCAGAGCCTGTGCTCTGCGGCGGGAGAGGCCACGTCAGTGAGAGGCCCGCGTACAGAAAAAAAAAAAAAAAAAAAAGACACCTGCCTTAACCCCTCAACCAGTTCATCCAACCAACCAGCTAATCCCATAACAAGGGATGTGGCTGCAATCCTGCAACGCCAATAAGCCCAGCATGCAAATGACCTATGAAAACAGCCTGGGCAGAACTAGGAAGTGGAACGGTGACTGGGAGAACGAGGATGGGACCTACTTCATCAATGCCTTCCTCCTCGTGAAAGGTACGCGACAGGAAGAGACAGGTCATGGTCTCTTCCTTCTTGGTGAAGAGGATAAAATCCTTCCCAATGCGCATTGAGCCCCTGAAAGGGAAGCAGAAATGGGTTATTCTCCTAGGGCTGAAGAAGGAGCAAATTCCCCCTCTGGACGTGATGAGACTGCCTTTGGAGGGCTCCCCTAAAGGCCTCCCTGGGACCCAGGACCCTGAGCTGAGCTCCACAGCCCTCGCTCCCTCTCCTCCCCGCCCCCCACCTCCCGACACTCCTCCTCCTGCTCTTCCGTGGGCCTCAGTTTCTCCTCATCACCTTCTCAACCACATTTTCCCAGCACGCAGGGTTCTCTCACCACCAAGCATCAGCCCCAGGGGAGTCTCACCCCAGCTTGTCGCTGCCTGTGCTCTGGTTTCTTCCCAGCCACACAGGGCTGCTGTGGCCTAACTGTGAGCCACCAGGTTTCACTCCAGTAACACCTCCAACACACACATCATCTTCCACACTGAGCACATCCAGGTCTCACCCTGTCCTTCCTTCACTGACACAAACTCCCCTCCCATCCACTCATCAAACGGCAGCACCATCAAGGGAAGAGCCCACTGCCTATGCTCACAAGTCCTCAAAAAACCAGGATGACCCCAAGGCTCAGCCAAACACAGGGCTAACCGAAGTATCACTGTTGAACACAGTTCCAAGGAGGCCTACAATTGGCTCATGTCCTGTAACCACAACCATCTTGTGTCTTGAATTGTTTTGTCACCTCAACTCATTAAGCCACAGGTCCCTGCTTTAGGAAGCAACTGGTTTCTGAAAAATGTGCCTCCAGGCTGACTTCCACAAGGCAAAAGTCTGAACGGAATCAACTGCTCCTTCCTCTATTTGGCTGAGTTAATCCTTCTGAGGAGCAGGCAAGGACAGGCCTTTCCGGGAAACACTGAACAGGGCAAAAGCGTGAAGCACCAGTGGGAACAGGACCCACTGACCTGTCTTCTGAGCAGCTTCTGGCTTTATGGCTATTACCTCATTAGTCCTCCTAATACCCCAGGGAGGTGACAGCGGCGGGAAGCCTTATTACTTCCCTTCTATGTAAATACAAATACAAACTGGGCCAGTGTGCCAAGTATGCAAATGAACGCCATGCCCCATTTCCCCGAATGTTCAGGAAAACTCCAGGACACTATCCAGATGCCCCGGTGGCTGCCAAGTTGTTTTTCTCCTCCTCCAGTTCCCGAGGTGCTGGCAATGCTCCCTCCCCAGACAATCTCACAGTCCTCCTCCTGCCTCCCTGAAACTTACCGGTGGCAAAACGAGGCACATTAGCTTACCTTCTGCCAAAGCTTGCTCTTACCCTAATTTTGCAAAACCTCTCACTTTGTGCCTCTTCCCTGTCTTTGATCCTGACCTTGGAGGGTAAATAGCAACAACCCAGAAACGCCACTTCTCTGCTGGTTTCTCTGCTTCACAGCCCTATTCTCACCACAAATCACTTCCTCCTGAAACTCTTTCAACTACACTGGTTTCAAAATGAATTCACTCTGAACACTAGATGGCTCCTTCTCAATGGCGCCTTCTCAAAAGTCGTTCTACCAGAATATGCTGATGGCAACACTCTCAACTTCGGTATGCTTTCCTTCCTGGTCTTCTAAGCACTTCCAGAATCACATTTCATTTGCTCCTGAAGCTTCCTCAGTAAGGATGAATGTCAGCGTTTAGAAGCCCATTTTCTACAGCAGGAAACAGATACTCAGAGAAGGTGAAATGGCTTGTCTGAAGTCACAGAGCTGATAAAACCAGGAAGGGGTTTTATCTATAATCCAGAAGGGAAGTCAGGGTTTCTTACATCTGACTCTAGAACTCAGTTGTTGGAAACTTAGATCACCACACCAGAATCACCTGGGCCCTACCCCAGACCCACCAAATCAGGCCAAAAATCTACCATGGAAAAGATCAAAGGAGAGATAAAGTAAGAAGGGAGAAACTAGGCTAGGGCTCTCACAGTAATGATAGATTCTTAACCTACTCATATGTGTTATAATCTCAATTTACAAAGGAGGAGGCTGAGGCTCACAGAAGCAATTAAGCGGCTGATGTCAGATTTGAACTTTGGTTTGACTGAAGTGAGATGGACAGCAGCTCCGGCCTTGCAGTCAGAAAGACGTGGTGCATATCTCAGCTCTACACTTGGGCATTTTTACACCTTTGGGCAAGTCACATCACCCCTATAAACCTCAATTTTCTCATCTGAAGATGAGAATCATAGTACCTATACCTCACAGGGCTATGGTGAGGATTAAACAAAATCATCCAAGTAAAGTTTTTAGCACAGTGCCCAGCACATGGTAAGTGCTTGTTATTGAGAGACAAGTGGGAGATCCAGGTACCAAGTCCTTGCCATCATGGGAAGCACTCTCTCTCTTCCCCATACACCCAAGCTGGTTGCATGGAGGGACAACTGATGCTGCTGCCCAACCAAACACCACCCTCAAATAAAACAACACATTTCCACAGCAAGACTAGAAACATGACTCAGAATTCCATTTGTAGAAACTCCAATCCCACTAAATCTTATTCCATCCAAAGGTATGTACAACTGGAAGTGAGCATTTCAGAAATAGAAATCTTCCTCTTGGGGCTTCACTCAAAACCAGAACACCACATTCCAAATGCCAAACAAGTGGGAACCAAGGGCTGAGAAAGAAGTCTGGAGGGATGGGGAGACATTAGGTAGGTCCCTGCTACAGGGCCTGGCAGGACATGTGAGTAGCAACCAGGTCCTTTGGTGGTGTTGTGGGGGGGTGTTTCGGGTCTCTCACTCACTCACCCTGGATCCCCAGTGCCTGGCACAAAGTGTGACAGGTGCTCAGGGGACACGCTGCACCACGGAGTGACCCCCTCACCATCTCATAAGCAACCCAAGCCCACAAAACAGCCACTTGCATCTTCAACCACAAGGTAAAAATAAGAATTTTCAGTAGGAGGAGAGGTGCTGTTCCAGAGCACAGTGCCAAGAGAAACCTACAGCTTCTCCCACCTCAATGATTTTGGATGTTCATACTCTTTGATCTGTGATGTAGGCTGGACATCAGCTGCTAAGTCCCCAAACCACAACTCCTTCCCGACCTTCCTCCTGTTCCAGAATTACAGTGATGGAGGGACAAGGACGAGGAACATTTTCATTGGACAGAAGCAGGAGGGCATTGCTCGATTTTGTTTTGAGTCCTGGGACAAGCTTCTAGTATACTTACGATTTTAACCCATTCCCGTACTGCCCAATCTGGGTGGACTCAGGCGTTCGCTTGGCTGACTTCCCAAACTGGATCACGCTAGCAGCATCACCTGAAGTGGCGGACACAAGACAAAGTGAAAAGTTTGCTTTTCTTTCCCAGACTCTCAAAAATCAAAGGTCTGAGCCTTGTTAAATCCAAGCAGGGCTGGCTGTCTACTGAAAACCTCTGTCCAAGGAAATTCACAACCATGAGGCAAATGGAGGAAACCTCTGACTGGCCTGTCAGTACCGCCATCACTAGGCCCTTGTTCTGTTACCAGAACGTGGTAATAAGGCTGGGGGAGGCCACCACAGTTCCAGCTCCAGGATGTTACACAAGCTGATAAATACAATGTCAAGAGACAGGTAATCTGACAGACTTCAGGCTGCCATTCAGATCCTATCTCCCGTGCTAGAACAAAACCCAGCAAATCCGTGAGTGGAATTAAGCCTGAGATGTTGCAAGAGACCTCCCTCTCCCTTCTAGTCACAAGAGTGAGGCAGAAAAACAAGTTAACACAATAAGCATTTTGTAAAAATGGTTACTTCTTCCCCAAAAGAAGCAATCAGCCCAACACTTACTTGGATCCATTCCTGCTCCATCATCCAAAAAACAAAGCATAAATCCTCCGCGAAGGTCCTCTCGCCTTTCTGTAAAAGAAGGAGCTGCCATTACTGGGCAGTTACCCACCAGAGGGCGGCAACCTGTTTGTGATCGGAAGGTGGATCAATGTGAAGCTTAGTCCAAAAAGGCCTTCTCCTTCTAACAGTCCTAGCTAGTGTGAGTTAAATGTCAGGGCCCTTGATGGTAGGAATTTCCATCAAAGGCTCTCCAATGCATTCTAGTTCACGACAAAGCATAAGAGAATGTATAAGGAAGGGACAGAGAATACCTAGTCCAGCATCTAGCCACAGCCAGGGCCACTGAACATGCACGGATTTCATACACACCTCAACCACCCTTCTGCCTCTCTGCACCTGGACTTTTTCCACCTCTGCCTTCTGCTGTGGACACTAAAGTACTCCAACTACTACATGCTGTACCTTATCAACAGTGCTCAAATTCAACAGGGCACCTCGTTTGTGGGTTAAGTTTGGGGTAGCCTTCAGATAAAGTGATGGAGCCAGTCGTGCTATGGACACAGTGGTAGCAGCTGCTATCTAGAAGGTGAATTACTAAGTCAGTATGTGACTATCCCCAGGCCAACCATAGTTTCTGGGCCATCAGTATTCATCATCACATCCCCTCCTTGCTATGGGTCCTTCAAATAGCTCCCCATCCCAGAAGTGAGATGGCACAGAGTGTAGTGAGAGCTGCCTGGTTTCCAACTGGACCTGCTCGACTGGAGAGAGGAACAGTCCTTCGACAATAAGAGACAGAGCAGCTGTGGCAGGGCGTCCTGACCGACAGGAAGGAAATGTATGACACTAAGGCTGCCATTCCAGTGGCTAGAAGAACCCCTTCCTTCAGCAGCTGTCTCTACAGCAGCAAGTGGTCACTCAGAGCAGTCTGGGTCCAAGCACATCAGAAACACTGGAGAAGAGATTCCCAAACAGGGAAGGGAACCACACTAGAGTTTCCAAGGTGCCTTTTGACCCCAGTGATGAGGACTAGGCAGGCAAAGGAGGAACGGCACAGGCCTTGGAATCAGGAGAGCATTTGTACTAAAAAGGAAGAAGGTCAGTTTAAGGTACTACAGGGATAAGCCCAAGGCTGCCTTGGAGTCTATTCCCTAATTGAGGACATTTTTGTCTCCCCCAAGCTGCAGTTCACCAACTTCACCCAACTATCTAAGCAGTGGAACCTCAGTTTAAAATGCTCTTTGTCCTCCCCTCAAGTTAAATATTCAAGTAAGTCATAACCACCTCTGTTAAATGGACTAGTTAATGTAATTTAAAATGCTATTTCAGAAGTACTATAAGCCACAGAGATTTTCAAGTATCATTTGATGTTCAGGAAGCTGAACTTTGCTGAAACATTAATCACAGGTGCTTCCTGAAAGTTCGAGAATAAGGATCTTCTTGGAAGTACTACTGGTAGATAAGAAAATTTTTCCTGTGGCAGTGCCTTTTATCAGTCTGGAGAACCCAAATGAGATCTAGTAAGCAGAAGCAAGTGCAAAAAAGGTGCAGAAATTCCTCAGTTTCCTTCTGGAGGAAGCAAAGTGTCATATGGAGACTCAAACTGGGTCAGGAACAGAGCGTGGTAAAGGAAGTGTTCTAAATCTAGCCAAGAGCCATTTGCTGTATGCTTTAGCCATAAAATGTACACAAAGACTCTGCTTTGGGATCTAGAAATTGGTTCAAGCCAAGTGTATCTGAAAAATCTCCAAGGATTGATTACTGGCATTTCTTGAACACTACCTAGGAATTACTTCTAGGTCCTTATGTTTGGTAGAACAGGACTCACAGGCTGTTTTCTTTTTTTTTAATTTTGATGCTTTTTAAAAAAAATTTGTTCATGTCTGGCTGCGTTGGGTCTTCGTTGCTGCGCGTGGGCTTTCTCTAGTTGCAGCAAGCGGGGGTTACTCTTCGCTGCAGTGCGCAGGCTTCTCATTGCAGTGGCTTTTCTTACTGTGGAGCATGAGATCAAGGCGCACGGGCTTCAGTAGTTGTGGCACACGGGCTCGGTAGTTGTGGCTCGCAGGCTCTAGAGCACAGGCTCAGTAGTTGTGGCGCACGGGCTTAGTTGCTCCACACACAGCATGTGGGATCTTCCTGGACCAGAGCTTGAACCCGTGTGCCCTGCATTTGCAGGCAGATTCTTAACCACTGCACCACCAGGGAAGTCCACACAGGCTGTTTTAACACACAATCATCACTTAACAGTGGGTCTGAGATCCCTTTCTTGCCCAAGGACTTCATTTTAAAGCTTTTTCATATGTTTATGAGAGTAAGACACCCACCTATGGAGGATCCTCCTGGCCACACAGTGACCAACAGTCTGTAAGCAGCTAGCAGTGCTCAGGTCCACAGTCACGTGTGGCACTGCCTCAGGGCCAAAAGAGACTAGGTGACACAGCAGTAACTCCTTCAACTTTGTAAGGAGGCAGTATGGCATCTTCACTTGGCTAAAATGCTTATCCCAATCACTCAGTTATTCGATGTGCCTGGCTCTGTGATGAAGATAATAGCCGAGAATAATGCGGATGTGATCACTGCCTTCAGGGAGCTTACAATCCATAGGATAGCTACTCCCTGTAGCAGATCAGTAAGCAGGAGGGTTTAAGCAAAAGGAGACTGAGAAGAGTGTCAGCTAGAGCAAAGGCACTGTGCATAAGGATCACCTGAAGAGCCTGTTAAAATACAGATTCGGGGCTCCACCCTGCAGAGTCTAGTAGTGTGGGTCGGAGGTGGTACCTGAGAATTTGCATTTCTAACAAGCTCCCAGGTGATGCCAATACTGTCCACCACTGGTCCACTCTTTGAGAAGCAGAGAGCTAGAGCTAGCAAGAACTAGAAGGCCTCTCTGCTTGAACCTATCTCCCCAGACATTCCAGCAGTTAGAGATGCATTCCTAACACATTCTATTCACTTTAGTCAGTCAATTGAGTGCTATCTAAAGCCTCTAAGCAAAGGATTTTTATGAAGATGGGGGAGTTCTGGACAGAAGGGAGTCTAGGCAGCTGGAGGTTGTCTGCTCCCCGTCCCAACATACATCTCAGAAGCAAGACAAGGAGGGCAAAGCCAAACTACCTTCTTTGCAGTTGTGCTTCAGGCCCTGGTAGCAGCTATGTACAATCACAGACCCAGTGTGGAAGGCTGCACATCTAAGTTTCCCCCAACATGACTAAGTCTGGCCTCTCCAAGTTAGCCCAACGTTCCTCCATCCAACTCCCATTGCGGAGAACAGGAAAAAGAAAGAAGCTGAAAAGGAGATGTGAGATGGAGCTATAAGTCAAAAGTCAGAGGCGATAAAATGATGTTGTCCTCAGCGGAGGCTGTAACAGAACAACACTCAAGTTCCTCGTACTTCGCAATGTGTTTGAGCAGTATTCGTTTCAGCTACATTTGCTCTAATTTTCCATTTACTAACCATTGACCTGGCATCACAAAAGGGATCTTTCTTTGAGGCATGGCAGTCCCTATCCAAGGAAGTCCAGAAAATCAATAAAAACACACTCTACTTCTGACAGGCACGTTATGGTCTGGCCCAACCTAACAGGAATGCTTTGGGTACGGGAGTCTGATTCCTTTCTCACCCTTCTTTAAATTACAGTGTGAATGTGTGGCGAATTCAAACTACATCTGATGTTTGGGGAGATTTCCGAGTTCAGTTATCAATCTAGTTTCAGAATGGGAGACAGGAAGATACTTTCCCCGATATAGTAAGAACAAAAACTTTACATTACTAATTCTATTATTCTACTTGTAAAATGAGGTTGCTTTTATTCCTCCTGTTGAATGTGTTAATACGGCACTGAAGTAGAAAAGTGTGAAGTTAGGGGCACCTCAGTCAAGATTCCCAGTCTCAAGGTACTTGAGAGTAAATCAAGTCTTTCTCCAAAATGCTATAGTGCTTAGCGCTTCTATCACACCATTTAATCCTTAACTACCTTGACAGTTCCCTCAAGATCAAGTCATTGTTCTCTAATCATCTGTAGAGTGCTGTCTCTCCAATTAGTGACTAAGTTGTCTAATGAGAATTTAGCAAAGGCCCCATCTCATGCTCTCTCGACTCCTCCCAAAACACAACAGCAGTAACACTGAGCACAGAATGAATGCACACTGGGCCCTTTTCATTTAAAGTGAAATCCAACTGTTTGTTCTGCTGCATTCTAAGGGTAAAGCACTAAATTTCCTTGCTGAAATTCACCCACCAAAGGTAGTAAGAAGGAGCAGGGATGATCTCTTTTAAAAAGCTTCTTCCAGTAATTCCCTGGTGGTCCAGTGGTTAGGCGCTCTCACTGCTGGGGCCTCGGATTCAATCCCTGATCTGGGGACTAAACTCCCATAGGCTGCGTGGCGCAGCCAAAATAAAAAAAAAGCTTCTTCCAAATAGATTTGGCTATGATGATTTGTCCCTTCAACATCACTTGGAGTGGAGGCCATTCTGTGCTTTGCCATCTGTGCAATGATTAAAACAGCCACCATTTCTTTCAGAGGTAGCGGTTAATACTCCTCACTAAAGCACACTGGGATGTAAGGCATACTGTGGCTTGGGAATGATGCCTCCATCTGGCCTGAGGGTTTAGTAACCATCTTCTAACATTCTGCTGCTATGCCCCCTTTTCTTGTTATTTTCTTCTAAAAATAAAAGTAGTCTTATTTTCACCACTTTGGCAGAGCCTTCTGAACAGAAGGCTTTAGAATTTAAGCAGTATAGCTGACTTTTAGCTGTTCTGAATATTTTCTTTGCTCCAAAGAAAGGAATAAGAAATTCATATCTGGGGAGATTCTTTATAATTATATGGCATTGGAAATTCTAAGAATTACTTCCTATTGTGTGATTATCCCCATTTATCAAACAGGTCTGTGAAGAAAAAGAGGGATTATTTGATAACCATATATTCCCATAAAAACACTCAAGTTTTCTCAAAAGCTAGACAATGCTACCCAAATTGAATTTAAAAGCCATCTTCCTCTGTTCCACTTCCAAATTTTTAGCATTCAAACGACCAAAAAACGTGCTGGTGCAAACACTGAACAGGCAAAAAGCAAGCTATTTATCAAATAATAAATAAATAAATAAATAAATAAATAATGACTAAGATTTCTTCCACTGTTGTACCCACTCCATAAAAAAAAAAAAAGGATCTTACTGCCAAAGAGCAGAGCCAATTAGGCAAAATAGTAGACGCTGTCGATATCTTTAAATTCGAAGCAAAGCAGCCCTTCTTCCTACATAACTTCTCTGCCTGAGAACATCTCTGCAGACCTCAGTGTCAACCTGGTTACACAACTGTTTTATACAACTGACACCAGCAACTCTCCAAGTTGGGACTTGTCCTCACCAAGGCTGCAGAGGGAGAAGATGGCCTTCAACAAGATCTCTCTTTGGCTGCAGGAACCACAAATCTGGTCACCTGCTAACTCCAATCAGGACAATCAGTGGTACTTGGTCATTTCACTCCCCATCACCCCCATAAATCTCCTAGCGGATTTATTTAAATAGATCTATAGATCTGGGCACCCTGTGTTAGTTCCTTTACACCAATATTCTTGATTTCTATTACATGCCTGACGAGGGCTGCCCTGTTTCTCCCTAAGACCTGTAGTAATCAGGCTGTCTACCCACGCTCCAAAAACCAGTTTTTTCCCACTCATTTCTTCTTAGGCACAGCAATAAATGCTTTCGGGAACTGGGCATTAGAAGAAAGGACTGATGTCTGTCTTACCTGCATAAATATCGATTCTGGTGGCATCAGCATCCCTGCAAAGTTAAAAGAAAAAAAAATCAAGATTCAAATGAGAATATGAAAATATCAACCATCAAGATGCACAATATTTTGAGGGGGATACGTACTATTTTGAATCTATCTTCAGGAAGTCATAAAGAAATTCTATATACATTAAAGATATACTTTTACATTTGGTAACACAATTTTCCTTACATGTCTATGAAACACTTCTGGAGCTCCAAATTATTTAAAATAATCACAGGATACACAGGACCTAGACACACTTTTTTAATAAAAATTTCACAGTGAAACATCTAAAAAGAACATTTTTTAGATGTTTAAAAACATCTAAAAAATGTTTTATCCTTCTTTAGAGGATAAAAAAGAACATTTCTTTTACACACTAGGAAATGACTCCAATCACTCATTTGATTGCAATCATAAACAATGTTCCAATAACTTGTCCATTTTTTCTTCTCACCAAGATTTGAGAAAAAAGAAAACAACCTGCCACAAAGCCTAAGAAAAATCAGGTCTCATGGGATACACACTATAGTCAGCAGACTGATTCATAAGCCCATAATCTGATCCTCCCTAAACTTGAAAGGAAGTTGGGACAGCCCATTAGACTCCAGCCATCGGCTGAAATAAAAGTTCAGTTATCAATGAAGTCTTCCATAAAGGCTTGAAAGTAATCTAGTCCAGTTCTGCCAACTGTAGACAAGGAAAATGAGGCACAGAGTTTCATTGGTTTTAAATGTGAAAAATCCACTCAAATCCATACAACTCTACACGTGCCTATTCTCAAAGACATAAAAACATTTTCAAAAATAAAAGAGATTGGCAAAATGTGTGCATGAGCAGGAACATACACTCCCAATCTCCAGTTCACCATATGATATACAAAAAAGCAGTCTGACAAAACACATTACAGTCTCACTAAACTAACAAGTGGGAAATTCAAACACAGTTCCATTAAGCTACAACATTTTTAAATTGTATATAAAAATTATAAGTCAACCAGGATTGAAATAATTGAAAACACTGAAAATGGGAGCTTTCTAGTTAAACAACCTGTTAACCAGCACCCTTCCATAAGCAGTCCAGTGAATAATAACAATAAAAGTAATAATAGTATAGGTTTATAGCATGGACATAGGTAGACATAATTATCATTATGTCATTAACTGGAGGTCTGTTTAGAAAGTACTCCTGTCAACTCTTATCCTCTTCTTCCTTCATTAGTCATCAACACTTGGTCAATAAACGCCGTGTCTGAATTTTATGTTTGCATTCAGAAACAAGACTGAGATAATATTTTAGTGATATAATTATAAAAAGACTTCTGATTTGGCCTTTGCTATTTATCTCTGAGCCAACCCAAACTTTTCAGTCTTGCTCAGTAACATTTATAGGCTTCTATCACTAAGAATTCAGTATAACACAGTGCTAAAGAATGATTTCTTCTAAGCACAATTGCTAACAATGGAAGATGCTTTGATCAACCTGAGTCATCTGACAATAAAATACAGTCACTCCTCCGTATCTGCAGGGGATTGGTTCCAGGACCACCCAGGAATACCAAAATCTGCAGATGCTCAACTCCCTTATATAAAATAGTATAGTACTTGCATATAACCTATGCACATCCTCACGTCTACTTAAAATCATCTCTAGCTACTTACGATAACTAATACAATGTAAATGCTATGTAAATAGTTGCCAGCATGCAACAAATTCAAGTTTTGCTTTTTTGGAACTTTCTGGAACTTTCAAATACTTTCGATCATGGTTCATTGAATCACAGATGCAGAACTTGCAGATACAGAGGGCTGATTATACATTTTGGGAAGACACAGAACTCTGACATAATTTTAAAGACATTAGATAGTGTACTGTCCTGGTAGCACAAATTAAAACAGAGCTTGTCTGTCCTAGTAATTAGCTAACTAAATTTTTATCTTAATTCCCTGTTTTTCACTACAATTATCTTGCTCTAATACACAAGGGAAGGTAGCTTTGGAGGTCATAAATTCACTATTTTTAGGCTGGAGCACAGCAACGAATGAATTAAGGTATCAACTAATGTGCTATTAAAAATACTTTTTGGGTAAGAGGCTTCTTAGGAATGAGTCGCATTTGCAACAGAATTGCCCTTCTCCCAAGTCTTCAGAGAGCAAAGGTCACACGACCCAAAAAGTTTTCAAGCAGAGACTGTATGCTTGAAGACTACATACCTTGCATTATCAACTAGTTCAGCAAGAGCACCAAACAAGAATTCATGAGTGGTTCTGAAATGATAAATATTGAGAGTCAGGAAAAGAATTATGGAATTAAACTATGATTCCTAACAAAAAGTCAAGGTTATAAAATAAAGTTTTTGGGGAAAAAAAACCTAAAATTGTCATTTGCATCATCAATTTACATTACTGAAGTTTAAATTTCCCCACAATTCAAGTCTTTCCAGAGCTCACTAGTAGTCCTCAAGTGTTAACCTGTCAAGTCCTGCTATCTACTCAAAAATGTTTATTCTTACTATTTTGAGTAGAGGAACCCACTCTAAAATATTCAAAGATTCCTATGTGTACTACTTCTAAAACAGTGTTTTTCACTATTCGTATTCTACCCTGAAAAATGCCTATATTTCATTTTTCATTGCCTTAACCAGCTGTCAGTTTCTGCATATCTCTTAAGAATTCTCAAAGGACAAATTGCTAGCATTCAGCTTTACCAATACCTTTGTGTGATTTACTGGTGAAAACCCATTCAGTTTTGTGCAATTTATAAGCAAAAATACTCCATTTGAAAGTGGGGAGAAAGAAAATAATCCATTTCTTGACATTCCCTGATTCTGGCCAAAAACAAAACTTTCTCCACATTAAAGAAAGGAATCCAAGACCCTCTTAAACAATTCCTCCTTATCCTAAGAGGATAAGGGCTTGGTGTGGCCTCCTAGGGCCCTTGTTCAAGTTAGCCCTTTCAAGGAGGGTAGCCAATGGTCATCTCCTCCTCTAGGAGGCTGCTCAAAATGTGAGTGGGATAAGTTCACAATTACCATGTTATTCAGAATTCAATAAAGATGATGTTTATGTGTAAGATGTCTCCTTACATTTCTTCCTCCATTTACACCTTCTTTAATTTGTGCTGTTTCCCATAATAGTCCTCGTTAGATATAAAAGTAGATGTGTCTACCTAGAACCACCTAGAAACTCTGACATTTTTCTTCTTTGGCCACACCTTGTGGCATGTGGGACCCTAGTTCCTTGACCAGGGATGGAACCTGTGCCCCCTGCAGTGGAAGTGCGGAGACTTAACAACTGGACCTCCAGGGGAGTCCTGAAACTCTGACTTTTGATTAAAGAAAATATAAAAGCATTAACCCACATATTACCATCATCAATTTTTCAAAAATAACCATGTTATTCCAGTTGATTTTTTTGTATGTAAAGTTTCAGCCAATAGATAAAGTGAAAATTTCTAAAAATTGAGAATGAAATATACCAATACTAAATAAGCAGTGTCTAGGATCTATGAGCACTTACTATATTGTTCAAAACAAATTGTAAAACGCTTGTTTATAAAATAAATACCCAAATTTCACGTGTCCAGGAACACTGGTTTTTTCCTCAAATAAATCTTCAAATTTTTATAAATGCAAATTTTTAATTAAAACTACCAGTTCTTGGAATTTTAGGAAGAACTTTTTCCCATGAGATCAGTGAATATATCTGCTGCTGATCCAAAGGCAGTACCATGATGTATTAACAAAATGTAGAAATTTTATCTCCAAGTCCCCTAACAGAGCTCAAATTCTTCTGACTAAAATCCAATTCTTAATTATTTTACATGAAGAAAACCCCCCACAATTTTGCAAGGAAAAACACCTGCAAGAAACATCCATATCTTTATTTATTTTAAAAATGTGTCTCCAAGGGCTTCTCTGGTGGCACAGTGGTTAAGAATCCACCTGTCAGAACACTCTATGACATAAATCACAGCAAGATCCTTTTTGACCCACTTCCTACAGAAATGGAAATAAAAACAAAAATAAACAAATGGGACCTAATGAAACTCAAAAGCTTTTGCACAGCAAAGGAAACCATAAACAAGACAGAACGACAACCCTCAGAATGGGAGAAAATATTTGCAAATGGAGCAACTGACAAAGGATTAATCTCCAAAATTTACAAGCAGCTCATGCAGCTCAGTATCAAAAAAACAAACAACCCAATCCAAAACTGGGCAGAATACCTACATAGACATTTCTCCAAAGAAGATATACAGATTGCCAACAAACACATGAAAGGATGCTCAACATCATTAATCATTAGAGAAATGCAAATCAAAATTACAATGAGGTATCACCTCACACCAATGAGAATGGCCATCAACCAAAAATCTACAAACAATAAATGCTGGAGAGGGTGTGGAGAAAAGGGAACCCTCTTGCACTGTTGGTGGGAATGTAAATTGATACAGCCACTGTGGAGAACAATATGAAGGTTCCTTAGAAAACTAAATACAGAACTACCATATGACCCAGCAATCCCACTACTGGGCATATACCCTGAGAAAACCATAATTCAAAAAGAGTCATGTACCACAATGTTCACTGCAGCTCTATTTACAACAGCCAGGACATGGAAGCAACCTAAGTGTCCATCGACAGATGAATGGATAAAGAAGATGTGGCACATATATATGGTGGAATATTACTCAGCCATAAAAAGAAATGAAACCGAGTTATTTGTAGTGAGGTGGATGCACCTGAAGTCTGTCATACAGAGTGAAGTCAGTCAGAAAGAGAAAAACAAATACCGTATGCTGACACATATATATGGAATCTAAAAAAAAAAAAAAAGGTCATGAAGAACCTAGGGGCAGGACAAGAATAAAGACACAGACCTACTAGAGAATGGACTTGAGAACACGGGGAGGGGGAAGGGTAAGCTGGGACAAACTGAGGGAGTGGCATAGACATATATACCCTACCAAATGTAAAACCAATAGCTGGTGGGAAGCAGCTGCATAGCACAGGGAGATCAGCTCAGTGCTTTGTGACCACCTAGAGGGGTGGGATAGGGAGGGTGGGAGGGAGGGAGACGCAAGAGGGAAGAGATATGGGGATATATGTATATGTACAGCTGATTCACTTTGTTATACAGCAGAAACTAACACACCACTGTAAAGCAATTATACTCCAATAAAGATGTTAAAAAATAAATAAATAAAATTTAAAATAATTTTTAAAATATTAAAAAAAAAACAGAATCCACCTGCCAATGCAGGGGACACAGGTTCAAGCCCTGGTCCAGGAAGATGCCACATGTCACGGAGCAAATAAGCCCATGCGCCACAACTACTGAGCCTGCACTCTAGAGCCCACAAGCCACAACTACTGAAACCCACGTACCTAGAATCCTTGCTCCACAACAAGAGAAGCCACTGCAATGAGAAACCCGTGCACCACAACCAGGAGTAACCACAGCTCACCACAACTAGAGAAAGCCTGTGTGCAGCAACGAAGACCCAACGCAGCCAAAAATAAATTAATTAATTTAAATAAATAAAGACAAACTCATTAAAAAAATATTTGTCTCTAAAATCATCACCTTAAATTCTTCAAATTATCAATTGAAGAAACAAAAAAATATTCTGATTACTTCAACTAATTAAATAGGGAAAATAAGCTGGAAAATTAAAGTGATTTGATGATGGTAATATAAGTTAAAAGTAAATCTTTGTTTTCAAGCTTTCAACCAATCATCTTCCTGTCTGACTAAGCAATGACTAAGAAACTTATAAAGTGAATTAGTTTTCTATACTCTAAATTTTCTTTTTAATTTTTTTTTTTTTTGCGGTACGCGGGCCTCTCACTGTTGTGGCCTCTCCCGCTGCGGAGCACAGGCTCCAGACGCGCAGGCTCAGCGGCCATGGCTCACGGGCCCAGCCGCTCTGCCGCATGTGGGATCTTCCCGGACCAGGGCACGAACCCGTGTCCCCTGCATTGGCAGGCGGACTCTCAACCACTGCGCCACCAGGGAAGCCCCCTAAATTTTCTTTTTAATTTTGAAGGCTAAAATGTAAAGTAACAAATTCTACTGCAATATTTCTCATTTCAAAAAGAATTTGTATTTGAAGTCAAGGAATATCAGAAATATAGCTCCTGGAAAAAAAAACAAGAGTACAATCTTAGTAAGAATGAGACTACAATTTGTATGTAGAAATCTTTGGGATTATCTGGCCTTTGGTAGTGACAATGGTGAATATCAATAATCTGGAAAACTAATTCTGATACCTTTGCCATCAGGGCAAAGAAATCAAAAACAGAAACAGCAATTGCTTCTCACCAATACATATTTCTGATTGTTTCACATGAAAATTAAAGACATTTAGAATTCAATAATATCTCAAAAGGGCAAGCACAAAGAGCACTTCTGGCTAAGTTTTTACTGCTTTCTACACAATGCTTAGAAAAGTGTCTTGTACATTTAGAATCTAAAGAAAACATTCCAAATGTCTTTGCTGTTCCGCACAGTATCAATGCTGTTCCACAATACATATTTCAGATAAGTTAACAGATACTTTAAAATGTAGCTAAGGGGTGCTTTTGTGATGTGTGCTGACACATCATAAAAGGAGCCTTTTGTGACAACTGTTGGTAAGGTCAGAGACAACACTCAGATTCTTCTCCAAACCTCCAAGTGAATAACTGATCCTACTAACAAATGCTAAAGCCAAAGTTCTAAGTATCTCTTAAATTCATAAGAACCAAAAACGTACCAACTGTGTAAGCTCTCCCCTTTTTTTCAAATAACATTCAAAGAGGTGTACTCATTGCTAGCTGGCAGTTGAGATAGAGATATCTGTATAAGTATCAAAGGAAATTATTTTCTTCACAGACCTAAAGATTCTTTGCATGTGATCCAAGAAAGATCAACCATCTGGAAAAAGACAAAGATTTTTAACAACCTCTTTCACTTTCAACTGATTGTGGCTTTTATACCATTTGTGCTACGATCAAAATAACTTTGCAGCTCAGCATTTCCAGTGACAAATTCAAGTGTAAATCTACTCATTATGTAAGGAAAATGGTCTATTTATATTCAGCCTGAATTTAAAGCCATAGATTATCCATAACCCCATCACACAGTGATAGCTTCTGCTGAATTCTTGGATATGCTGTTAAGAGTTAATTGCCTTAACTGCTAGAAAATAAAGATAAAAATTCTAGAGCAACCATTCTACATTCTAATGGCTTTAACATAGTCAGAATGTGAACCCACATTTCAAGAGGATTATAAATTATAAGATATATGGTCTCTAGAGATGAAAGGTTCCTTTACATTCACTTCACATACCAAGAAAACAACCCAAAAATATATGGCCAAGATAATAAGTTATTAAATGTGCAGACACAAAGAGACATAGAAAACAGGCATCTTATACATAAGCACCCTGCTCTATCAGAGCACTTAGCAATACTGCATACAGAGTGATTTAAGATACGCCCCTTATGCCAAAGGAACATCACTACCATCGCTACATCTGGTATCTGGCCCTTGACTACTCGTGAACATTTTAGTAGCAGTCACAAAATCCATCACCGAAGAGCAGTAACAGCATAAAACTACATTTAGTAGTTCATTGATTGAAGTTAATTGTAACTTCAATCATTTCATATGAGCAACATGCAATATTAAAACAAATTAGCCTAAGACCTTCATGTTAGAATTTCCCAGGCCTGCTTCAAACCTTAATGCTGATATAATCAAGAGAATAACCATCAACAGTTACTGTAGACCTAACACAAAAAAAATTAAAAAATTTAAGGCAGGGGTTTATCATCTCCAACAGATGCTCCAGAATTTACTAAAAATTAATCTGCCTAATGACTACCACCAAACAGCAAGTAGCTACCACACTGACCAACTTTTGGTTTATATTATAAATAAAACAAATAACTGTCACCATTTATTCAATATTTACTGTGAACCATATGGGAACTAATTACCTTATAAACATTATTTTACATAATTCTCATAAACATTGTCAGATTAGCCCCATTTTGTACATGAAGAAACTGAGGCTCAGATAAGTTGACCTACCCAAGGGCACAGCCAGGAAGCAGTCAAACATAAGCTTGGCTGGCTCCCAAGCCCATGCTCTTTTTACTGCACCACACTGATTTCTATCCTGGACTCTGCTAAATGGGAGATAAAGGGTCACTTTTTTCACAATTCAATATGGCAATATTGTAGATGTCAGACACCCTAAAATGGTCTTTTTTTTTTTTAATTAGAATAAAGCAGAAGGCAAGTCCTCCCTTCTCCAAAGGTTAACACTGCATCATTTAACCCAGAGGAGATGTATCTACCGTCATTACGATTAACAAGTCACATTTTATGAAAATTAAAAATTTGTTTCCTCTAGAAATGAACTTCCAGTCAAGTCACAATAAAGAACGGTCCTGAAATTGGCTACAAACCAAAAACTTATCTAGGTGTTCGGGGGTTCATATTTTCTTCTGGCAGGACTGGACACATTCAGAAGTAAACAACTTCTAAGGTGTGATCCAGGTAATAAATTCCAGAGCTTCCAAAATGATACATCCAGCCCTCAAAATGCTTATGCAAGCAAGTGGTTCCAATTCAACACGGTAAGTCAAATTCCCAGAAAATTCTCCAATTTCAAACAAGTGACTCAACTGAGGTTCAATTCTTTGCCTTTGCTCTGTTCTATTAAACTATAAAATAGCAAAAGAAATACAGAGAAATATCCCAGAATCCTCAAATAAAAGGTTCGAGATAAACTAAAATTGAAGACTTTTAAAGTGGTAAGTAAACCCTCTGCTGTATAGACAAGGAAACAAGGTAAAACTGACTCCAGTAGGAGGTCTTGCCTAATGGTTAAAAGCACTAGCCATGTGGCCAGATAAATCTTACTGCCTTCAATCTTGGTGCCTTACATCTGCCACTTAGCAGCTGTGTAACCTTTCGCATGTAACTTAATCTCTTTGAGCCTCAGTCTCCTCAAATGCAAAATAGGAATAACCCTTATTCCAGTAGGGCTGCTATAAAGATTACTTTAGACCATGTTTAAAAGTGACTGGCATGAAGCACTTAACTGTTGTTACTATCATTTTATTATCAAATAAAGTCTTTGGGGAAGCTGGAACAAGAACCTAGTTTCTGAACTCTCGTTATGGTCTTCCAAGAATATCAGTGTTTTGGCCCCTCATTCCAAAATTCACAACTGAATTTAACAAACACAATCATCCGTGAACATCTAAGTGGCCTTCCACTACTTGTTCTTAACGTGGCAGTTCAAATACACAAAAGGATACTAAAGGATACTGCCCTTGGCTATACTATGAGATAGATGGGTATAACCTTTGATCAGAGACCTTATCTAGCTGGATTTCAGATTCATTATCCACAGCTTGAGAATTCACCTAGGTGACTCTGCAATACCTACTTAAACACTCTAGTTCAGTAAGAATCTTCCTAAACAAAACAAAACCAGGTTCTCATTTGGCAACTCGCTTCACTACTCAGAAAATTTTGATTTCGGTAGGAAAAACAGCAAACAAAAAAATTACAGACGTCCTTTCCAACACTGATGGCCTCCCCACAAGATCATGCCTCTCACAAAGGATCTCCTTCATCCCTCTCCAGAAAAGAGGAAACACAAGACGAAGCACCTGGTGCAGAGCCTCAATTCCTATTTCATGGATGTGAAATGCCCAGGATGCTATAAAATCACCACCATCTTTAGCCATGCACAAACAGTAGTTCTGTGTGTTGGCTACTCTACTGTCCTCTGTCAGCCTACAGAAGGAAAAGCAAGGCTTACGGAAGAATGCTCCTTCAGACGGAAGCGGCACTAAAAGCCCCCAGAATCAAGATGAATGGGAAACCATCCCAATAAACATATTTTGGATTAAAAAAAAAAATTACAGGCGTTATCACAAATATGTGGTTCTTTCCCGTAAAAGGCTAAGTTATTGTACTATTACTAGATAACTGAAGTCTATGTTCTCAACCCTGAAGGTGGTTCTTCTGAACTCTGGGCCATTCATTTAGCTGCTCGCCACCTCTCCAGGTACCAAAATGAGAAAATACTTACCTTCATCTCAAAAGTGCCAAATGAATGTACTAAAGGACTAAGTAGTTATACCCCCACTGCATCACTTCCAAAAGAGTGGGCATAAGGATTAACCCTAAAACATTCCAGACCAATGTGGAGTGATGGTAATCTCCTCACAAACTCAAGAACTATGAACACAGTATGTGTTCAATGATTTGCATACATTTTGGGGAAAGGCTATTTAAATCACGGATTCAACCAAGTTATCACTTCCTGCTTAGCATATAAAAACTACAGTGGATGAGGATGAATTTCCCAGAAAAATAAAACCACCTGTTTTCTGAGGAAAAAATTTCTTCTCACAACTTGCCATTTAAACGTCTTCATTCCTTTTTTTTTCTTTTTTCCTTCTTAGAAAGAAAAGACTTGTTAGAAGCCAACTGTTTTGGCTGTCGTCACCAAAGAGAAGAAGGAGTTGATACTAGAATAGTCCAACTTTTGGCGATCCAAAGAACAGTACTTGTTGGATTCCTATCAAACACTTGAATGAAACAACTCAATATACTGACTTCAAGGAGCTAGCTTGCATTTGATCAAATAAATTTTGATCCAATAGAGGAAGATCATATTCTTCTGGATTAGCAACAAACATTTCACTGATCTCAGTTCTTCCATAAAGAGCTCAAGACTCATCCAGTGACACATCCCAAAAAGTAAAAATGCAAAATTTTCTGGGAAAAGGATTTCCATATTAATATCAAGCAACGAGTTATCAGTGATCTCAGTGGCACCTATAGGATACTTACGAATTTGTGTGTAGATAGTCAAACGTTAGCTGAGCTCGATTCAGACTGCTGTAATTTGTGAAAGCCATGAGTGCAATGAGGTCTCCAGTTCTTTACCCACTAACTGGGAACTATAAGCTTACAATGGAACAGATTTTTCAGGATTCCTTCCAGTAAAGGTTTGGTAAATCTGTGCTCCTTAGTTAAACAAGGTTATCTAGTATCTAACCAAGATATATTCAAAAAGATGTCTAAAACAAAAATCGATTTCTCCTTTACATTTTTTTTAATCTTCTCAATGACTATGATGTAATATCTTGGAAGGAACTACGTCATAAACGTGTAGTCTTAAGGAGCTTCAGCGTTAATTTGTGACAGTTCACGGAGTGGAATGTGGTCGGTCCTTGAGTAGATGATACTGGAGTTGGTGTTTTAATTACTGCTCCATCTTCATGTTCTTCGAGCCTTTTTTGTTGTTGTTCCTCTAAATTTCCTGTGAGGAAATTTACCAATCCGGAAATTTAGCAACTTCAGTCATAAAACTGGACAACCACCCATGTCTTCGCCATCAATGATCCCAGGATCCTTAAATTAGCCCCAGACTGGTGACCACGATGTTGATGAAGTGCATATGGCGTTAGTTCCGGCTTCACCACCTCCTAACTGAAAGATCTCCTAAGCGCTGAAGACCGATTTCTGTTTTCAAAGCCCGGACCAAACCTAGCTTGCTGTGTGCCCCAATTTCGTCAGGGTAGTGGGTCAAATTACCTCACAATGACCCACTAAGTAGACACAGAATTGACCCGCCCAAATTAACTCAGGCGGGCCGCGCCCCTCCCCCACTTCCCTCAGACACCGGCCTCAGCCTCTAAGGCCCTGACTGGGCCTCGGTCCCGTGGTCTCCTCCTCACGGAGGAGTTAGTCCCAGCTTTCAAGGCCCGGATCGAGGACAGTGGCGAGCGCACCACCCGACCGGGCGTTGCCCGGCGCTCACAGCTGCCTTTGTCCCTCCCCACGGAATTGGAACCCAACAACCGCAGCGCGCTCTTGGAACCATGTGCTGCCGCCGCCTCCGCCTCCGCCGCTGCCGCCGCCGCCGCCGCGAAACCAGCCGCCCGCGCGCCGCGTTGGATGAGATGGTGACCGGACTCAGCACCACAAACTTCGGCGTTTAGGGCTGCTCCGCCGCCGCTGCCGCTGCCGCCACTGCCACCTCAGCCACCGCTTTGTCTCCGCCAGTGCACACAACCCGGGCCGCCTCGCGCACTCCCCGACGCCCCAAGCCCCCGAGGCCTCCGCGGCGCACTCGGCCAATCACAGAGCCGCCCCTCCTCCCGCCCCCGCCCTGATGCGAAGCCTCCTGATTGGTGGGTAGCGTGTCTCCACGTGACCGGATTTTGTTAGCCGGGCACTCCCTTGTCACGTGAGTGCGCGCGCCTCTCTTCCTGCTTTCTTGACCCTCTCCGCCATTTAAAGAAACAGTACCGGGGGCGGGCCGAGCGACGCAGCCGGGACGGCAGCTGCGGCGCGGACCGGAGGAGCCATCTTGTCTCGTCGCCGGGGAGTCAGGCCCCTAACTCGAAGAAGCCCTGGCGCGCCCTCCCCCCCTTCCCGGTCTGGTAGGGCGAAGGAGCGGGCGCGCGGTCGATCGAGCGATCGGTTGGCGGCTCTTTCTCCTGCTCTGGCATCCAGCTCTTGGGGCGCAGGCCCGGCCGCCGCGGCGCGCGCCCGGTGGCCGTTGGCGCTCGCGCCGCGTCTTTCTTCTTGTACGCAGAACTCGGGCGGCGGCCTATGCGTTTGCGATTCGACGAGGAGTCGTCCGGGTGGTCGGCGGTGGCGGGCAGCTGCTCCGCCCCGCTCCCGGGGAGGCGGCGGGATTTGGCGCGGCCGGGGAAGCTGGGGTGGCCGGGGCCGGCCTGGAGGCCTGGCGCCACCCTTCGGGGCCTGCAAGGACCCAGTTGGGCGGGCAGGAGGGGGCCGGGGGATGGTTGGTGGTGGGCTTCCTACTTTGCCTTTTTCTCCTTATGCCGCCCTAGTGAGGGGCGGGAGCTTTGGCGGCAGCTCCGGGGTGGAGAGACAAGCTCCGGAGTCGGAAGAGCTGGGTTTGCTTCCGGGCCTAGCCACCAGCTGGCCGAGTGACCTTAGGCAAGTCACTTGGTAATTTGTCTGCGCCTCAGTTTCCTCCTCTATCAACGTTTGTGGGATTGAAGGCGCTTTGTAAACTATAAAGCGTCGGTGAATGTAAGGGATGATTATTGTTCGTAATGGTTGGCTTTTTTTGTGTGTGTCTTGAGTTGTAAGAAAACTTAGCAATTGTCCAATCCTTGGATTTTGAACCTGGGAACCTTGGATTGGAGTTGGATATTCCCAAATTCCCTGAAATCGTGTGCAAAAATTAGTGGGAATATGCATTTTAGGGGAATGAGGATCCATCGGCAGCAAGTTTTCAGAGGGGGCTGTGACCCAGAAGAGTTAAGAACCACAATTCACTTGCCACAAGGAGGAAACTGAGGCCTAGATGTCATTCGGGACCCGTCACAACCAATTTGAAGCCCCTGTTGAATCCCTGGGATATGTGAGCTGTTCTATGCATAGTGGGTATTCGGGGTTACAACACTCTACTGCTTGGCTTCTATTCTGAGTCTTTTCACCATGGGTTGCCTGAAAGGTGGCTGACGCATATGGTACAGTGGCACCCAATATAAAGCAGCTAAAAGTAGGAGTGGATGTGTTCTCTAGTATCAAGAAGCCTGTTTAATCTTTGGCCCAACAACTTTTTATTTTCTGGTGCCTGACTACCTTTCTGTTTCATTGACCATTTTCCATGACCATGGCTGCCATCCGTTACTTGCTCCTATTTTATATTCTTAGTTTGTGTGGTTGGTAGTGAGCAGGCTTATTTTTAAATGGTGCTGCCAAGTCCAGCTAATTAATGGTGCAGGTGGATTTTTAGCAAGCTGGCTGACTGGAACAAACTGAACCAGGCGTGGAATTCCTGAAGATGTTTGGGGGTTTGTCTTTATTAATTGAAGGTTAACATTCTCTGAAAAGTTTTGTTAGAATGTCTGCTGAACCTCAAAATCAGTAGATTGCAAGTGTTTCATACCTAACCTTCCCCCCGCCTCCGGCCTGCTTTGTATTCTCTTTGCTTGCAAGTGTGTTACTAAGATGGCCGAAATGCCAGTTTTTGCTTCTTTGTTAATTGTCAGCTGCTTTTATCAAATTCCAGGCCATTATCCAGCAAACACTATAAAAATGTTTGAACACTTGGATTTCAAACATTTTCAATTTGTGGAGTGGTGCTTACCAGTGGTACAGTTCTAAGCAAGCAAACACAAACCCACTTAAGTGTTTTGTTTGTTAGGTGTTAGCCGGTTCTGCTATTTCATACAAACATCTGGGAAAAAATCAATTGACTATTACCTTTACCTAGAGGGCAGAGACAAAGGATCTCAATTCCAGAGGAGTGACTGTTTTGGAGAAAGATGTGTTGGTCTTTTAGCTCTTTTGTAATTAAATCTGGATGTACCTCAAAAGAATCTTAAGACTGTGGTGATAAGATGCTTTCCTCAGGAGAAAGGAGGAAAAAAACAACTGGAACTCAAAGCTTGAAATTCTGTGACAAAACATGAGCTGTCCAGGATAGGAGGTTGAAAGTGTTTCACTACGGCGTTCTGCTCTTGGAACAGATGTCCTTCAGTGTAGTCACGGCGTGGACTCCAGATTTCCAGATTTTCAAGAACTGGATCTGGGACCTGGAAGAGATTATCAAGATGTGACAGGAACTTGGGAGCTGGATTTTTTTATTTTTGAATTTGGGGACTGTTTTCCTCGCTTTGAGAAAAGAGACAATGACTGAGCAAACACTGCCACCATTGCTATTACTGGGAATTCAGAGACCTGAATTTTCGCCACACTCTCAGTGCAAACTTTGGCGATGCTCCACCCACAGTGAACTACGGTACTTGCCATTTTCCAAAATGCCTTATTCGTTACCATCTCTGCACTTTTGTTTGTGCTCTCTTCTCTACCCTGGAATGCCTTCCTCCGCTTCTTCACCTATCAAAACTGCCATTTATTCAATATCCAACTCAAATGCTCTTTCCTTCATGAATTTCCTAACTTTAGGCAGAAATTATCTTTTTTAAGTTTTATAATGTGCTGTTTTTTATCTTTTATCTATATTTGTATACAAATAGCTTATAAAGTCCTTTTTTGCATGCATTAGCTCTTTCCAGATAGCAAGCCCCGTGAAAGCAAGGGGTTTGTCTTGGGAATCTTTGCCCAGACATATTACCACATATGATGATGCATTAGTAAAAAGAAGGAATTTAGAGAACAGGCGATCTCAGAATAAGCACTCAATAAATGTTTGCTTAGTTGCTATGTGATAACCTAATTACTCCTGATTAGGGAAAAAGTCACTAGTTTTGGGCCATGTCTCTTCTTTTATTTCATGCTTTATTATTTTTTAATTCTAACTCTAAAAAGACTTAGGGAGGGGCTTCCCTGGTGGTGCAGTGGTTGGGAGTCTGCCTGCCAATGCAGGGGACACGGGTTCGTGCCCCGGTCCGGGAAGATCCCACATGCCGCGGAGCAGCTGGGCCCATGAGCCATGGCCGCTGAGCCTGCACGTCCGGAGCCTGTGCTTCGCAATGGGAGAGGCCACAACAGTGAGAGGCCCGCGTACCACAAAAAAAAAAAAAAGAGACTTAGGGAGCCCTCATATATAAAGAGAAACTGCTCTGCTGCATAGGGTATTACAGAGGGGTGCAAGGGCCAGGGCCTTATTCCCTGCGTACCTTATTCTCTTGCACTCAAGATGGAATCTTATGAAAATGTAATTAAGGATAGCTTTTACAAATACAAGACCATAAGACAATTTGTGAAAGGCATTGGAAAGGAAGAACAACAGTATCTCCTTTGCTTTGCTTTGGTGTTGGTATATAAAATTAAATCCAGTTCTCATACCACCTTTGGAGCCACTTCTTTCTCCACCAACCACTGCCCAGCAACCTGAATACAATCAAATTACTACCCCAAAGTATGAGACTTGGGGCAGTTCCTATTTGCTGCTTCCCAAGACAGTTTGTCCTCAAGAGTCAGGAAACAGTCTTTACCAGAGAACTCTTTCTGTTCTTATCATCACTGATCGTTAATCATAAGGCTTTTTTCCCCCATTTATCATCTGTCAGCTTCTAAGCCATGCTTGTCAAGAATTAGTATCCGTCAAGCAGCTGATGTGCTGACAGCAGCCCCACCCCAGTGTTAGAGTCCTTTCTTTGTAATTCCAAGCATTTGTTGTCTTATATGTTTTGTCCCTCTCCCCTCCAGTCCTGTGCCTCCTGGTTGCCGAGTGTTCACCTGGACCGTCTGACCACCTTTGTGCTATTCCATCAGCCTACAGATCTGGTACCTGGATTTTTGCCCATGGTGATTCTACCACCTTACTACTGAAGAAGACATCATTCCAGTGGACCACTGTGACCCAGGAGGCATCCAGCAAATCATCATGATGTGGCCTTCACCTCCACTCCTGTCCTGTTCTACCGAGATTCAACACAGCCCTTTGTAGTGAAGTCAAACTCCTCAAGCCAAATAGCTGAAGCTATTTTATCACAACAAAGGCTGTTTGTTCCATGAGTGTGCATTTCATTTCTTCAGTTAAAGCCTTCAGAGACACATAATAAATTTGGACCAGGGGATTTTTAGTTATCAGCACTGTCTGAAGAATGGCAACATCTTTTTGAGAACCACATTGGACCATGCCCCACTATCTTAAATGATTGAAATTCAGGAAGTATCTAATCTGGACCCCATTCTTTTTCCATGTCAAATCTGTAGTAACCTACTGAATGAGCAAGCAGATATTCTGACCCATTGGGATTAAAACAAAGGCACAGTGAACTCACAGCATCTTCTTTGGGATTACTCAGGAACCAGAACTTTTCACACAAATGTAAGAAATTCTACCAAGGAATCCCTTTACCTAACAGCATCTCACAAAGCTCCAATCAGATTCCAGAAAAGGCCTCTTGATACATCCAGGTAGAACCTATATGGTAATCCCTTATGTTTATATAGCACTTTACAGTTTCAAAGCACTTTTACATGCATTAATCTCAATTATCAAATAACACAAATTATAATCCCTTTTTGCAAATGAGGAAATGGAAATTTAAAAGGTTATCCAAGGTGACACAGCTACAAAGTGGTAGAGGCCAGGCCTTCTGACTCCTAGTCCAGTTCTCTCCTTGGAATTAACTTAG